CCACTGAGTGTCCTGTCTACCTACTTCAGGACTTCTGTGAGGATCAAATGAGATGAGGCATGGGAAAATGCTTCACAGACATTTGGTTAAAGTGTGAAATGTTTCCACCTGGCTATAAAGCAATTTGTGTTCCTGGGCTGAAGAAACTCCAAGGAGGCTAGTCGCTAGGGCAGTGATGGCGAACCTATGACACGCGTGTCAGAGGTGACACGCGAACTCATTTTTTTGGTTGATTTTTCTTTGTTAAATGGCATTTAAATATATAAAATAAATATTAAAAATATAAGTCTTTGTTTTACTATGGTTGCAAATATCAACAAATTTCTATATGTGACACGGTACCAGAGTTAAGTTAGGGTTTTTCAAAATGCTGACACGCCGAGCTCAAAAGGTTCACCATCACTGTGCTAGGGAGAGGAAGCCAGGTGCTCACAGCAACCGTTTCCAGACTGGGCTGGGCTGTGGGCTGCGATTTGGTGGGGTGTCGCTCCGGGATGGTGGCAGGGCCTGTGTCCCACTTGGGGGAAGCCAAGTGTTGCTTTGTCAGCACAAGGTCTGCAGTGCCATTTCTTTTTTTTTTTTTTTAATTGTTTTATTGCTTAAAGTATTACAAAGAGTATTATACGTCTCCTTTTTTTTTCTCCCCTTGACCCTCCCCTAGCCTCCCATGCCCCCCAGTGTCTTGTGTCCATTGGTTATGCTCATATGCATGCATGCAAGTCCTTTGGTTGATCTCTTACCCCCGCTCCCACCCCCCAGCCCTCCCCAGCTTCCCGCTGTAGTTTGACAGTCTGTTCGATGTTGCTCTGCCTCTGTATCTATTTTTGCTCATCAGTTTATAATGGTCTTAATTATCCATAAATGAGTGAGATCATGTGGTATTTTTTAAAATTGTTTTATTGCTTAAAGTATTACAAAGAATATTACATATGTCTCCTTTTTTCCCCGCCCTTGACAATCCCCTGGCCTCCCCTACCCCCCAGTGTCTTATGTCCATTGGTTATGCTTATATGCATGCATACAAGTCCTTCGGTTGATCTCTTACCCTCCCCTCCTGCCCCCAACCCTACCCGGCCTTCCCGCTGTAGTTTGACAGTCTGTTCGAGGCTGCTCTGCCTCTGTATCTATTTTTGCTCATCAGTTTATAATGGTCTTTATTATCCATAAGTGAATGAGATCATGTGGTATTTTTCTTTCATTGACTGGCTTATTTCACTTAGCATAATGCTCTCCAGTGCCATTTCTTTGTAAATGGCCAGTGTGCATCATGGCAGCTCCTGCATTGAGCATCTGCCCCCGGTGGTCAGTGCGCATCATAGTGACCAGTCGGACGGTTGGAGGGACACTTAGCATATTAATCTTTTATATATATGTATATCTCCTATCTAATAAAAGAGAAACATGGTAATTAGCCGTACCTCCGCTACCTTTCCCATTGGCTAATCAGGGCGATATGCAAATTAACTGCCAGCCAAGATGGCGGCCGGCAGCCAGGCAGCTTGAAGCTAACAGGAGGCTTGCTTGCTTCAGTGACGGAGGAAGCCAAGGTTCCCCGCCTGCCTTGCCGGCCTCTGAGCTTGCAGTTTGAAACATTGTTACAGGCCTCTGAGCTTGCAGTTTGAAACATTGTTATAAATATAGAAGCTAAACAAAACCCCTGAAACCAGCTTTCAGCCAGCCGAGATCTCAGAGCTGGAGTTGAAACAGTGTATCGATTATAGAACCCAAACAAACCAGATACCTGCTTTCAGCAGCTGAGGCCTAAGAGTTGGAGCCAAGCCTCAGAGCTAAAGCTGGCCCAGAATAGAAAAAGAAAAAAGAAAAAAAGGAGCGGTTGGGAGCTTCAGTCACCCGCCAGCCTGAAAACGGCCCTCAGCCCCTCACCCAGACTGGCCAGGCACCCCAGTGGGAATCCCCATCCTGAAGGGGGTGTGACCAGCTGCAAACAGCCATCATCCCCTCATCCAGGCTGGCCAGGCACCCCAGTGGGGACCCCCACCCTGATCCAGGACACCCTTCAGGGCAAACCAGCCGGCCCCCACCCGTGCACCAGGCCTCTATCCTATATAGTAAAAGGGTAATATGCCTCCCAGCACCGGGATCAGCGGAGCCGAGAGGCCTCTCGGCTCCGGGATCAGCGTGACAGGGGGCAGCGCCCAAAACCCCTGATCGCCCTGCGGCTCTGTGTTTGACAGGGTGCGGCGCCCCAACCCCCTGATCGGCCCTGCTCTGTGTGTGACAGGGTGCGGTGCCCCAACCGCCCCCCACGAGCCCTGCTCTGTGTGTGACGGGGTAGAGCCATAACCTCCCCATCGGCCCTGCCCTGAGTGTGACAGTGGCGGCGCCCCAACCCCCTAATCGGCCCTGCTCTGTGGGTGATAGAGGGCGGCGCCCCAACCGCCCCCCACGGGCCCTGCTCTGTGTGTGACAGGGTAGAGCCATAACCTCCCCATAGGCCCTGCCCTGAGTGTGACAGGGTGCGGGCGCCCCAACCCCTGATCCGCCCTGCTCTGTGTGTGACAGGGGGCAGTGCCCAACTCTTCTATCGGCCCTACTCTGTGAGTGACACGGGGGGAGCTCCTCAACCTCCTGATCGGCCTGCTCTGTGCATGACAGGGGGAGCTCCCCAACCCCCTGATCGACCCTGCTCTGTGCGTGACAGGGTACGGAGCCCCAACCCCCTGATTGGCCCTGCTCTGTGCGTGACGGGGTGGCGCCGCAACCTCCCATCGACCCTGCCTTGAGTATGACAGGGGGCGGTGCCCCAACCCCCCAATCGGCCCTACCCTGAGCGTGACTGAGGGTGGCATCGCAACCTCCCAATCTGCCCTGCTCTGTGCGTGACAGGGGGTGGCGCCCCAACTCCCCAATCAGCTCTGCTCTGAGCCCGACCAGGGGCTGCACCTAGGGATTGGGCCTGCCCTCTGCCACCTGGGAGCGGGCCTAAGCCAGCAGGTCGTTATCTCCCGAGGGGTCCCAGACTGCGAGAGGGCACAGGCCGGGCTGAGGGACCCCGCCTCCCCCCCGAGTGCACAAATTTTTGTGCACCGGGCCTCTATATATATATATATATATGTAGAGAGAGAGAGAGAGATCCACATTCAGTCTGAACTTCTGCCCTTTTCTGATGTTCTTTATTTGTTCATTTGCAAACCTTTCATTCATGCCCATTGTGTACAGAATGAAAATGAGAAGAATGGATTCTGCCTTTAAGGAGTGTCCACCTATATTTGTTATGTAGATACCACAGTCTACTTCAATTTCAGAATATTTATGGAAAGTCTGCTATGATTTTAGAGAAACACCTCAAAGTGTAGTGTGCCTTAAAAATATGGAATCTTTGAGGGTTACTGACAAACCAACAGATTAATTTCTTAAAAGTTTCTTGGAGAAATGATGACACTTGAGAATGTCAGTTTTGTTTTCCAGATTCTTACTGTAATTTGAAAGTAGAAAGCAGAGATTTTCCTTGATCTGTCCTTTGGAAGACAGTCATGTGCATTTTACTATTTCTAGGAATTTCATTGTATATTCAGGGAGAAATTCCTAGAAACTAAAATGCACGTGACCGTCTTATATTGAGGATCCATGTGGTGGGGTTGCCTTTTAAGTAAATGCTTATATGATAACTTCCTTAGTCTTTTTATAACTAAGCATCTTACGTTGCATCGTTTGCTAAAATTAACAGCATACTCTGAGGCTGAACCATTTGGAGTTTTATCTTGCAGAATACTGTCCCCTCCCCAGTTTCCTCCCAGAATATACTCCATTCTGGTTTTGGTAGAATTCATACCTGCTATCTTCTCTATCTTGATTGTTGAATTGCTGCTTGGCTTCTTTTTTAAAATATATATTTTATTGTTTTTTTTACAGAGAGGAAGGGAGAGGGATAGAGAGAAACATCGATGAGAGAGAAACATTGATCAGCTGCCTCCTGCACACTCCCTACTGAGGATGTGCCCGCAACCAAGGTACATGCTCTTGACCGGAATTGAACCTGGGACCCTTCAGTCTGCAGGCCGACTCTCTATCCACTGAGCCAAACCGGTCAGGGCACTGCTTCGCTTCTTTAAAATATTATGTGTTTAAAAGTAGACATTAATAACTCAAATTCACATTTTTCTTGTGATTGTTAAGGTTGAAATTAGCAAGTATTTTACAACTTAAATCACCATTTGCACAAATCTGAAGAGGCACTATAGCCTAGGTGTGGCTCAGTGGTTGAGCATCCACCTATGAACCAAGAGGTCACTGTTGGATTCCTGGTGAGGGCACATGCCCAGGTTGTGGGCTCGATTCCCAGTAGGGGGTGTGCAGGAGGCAGCCGATCAACGATTCTCTCTCATCGATGTTTCCCTTTCCCTTCTCTGAAATCAATAAAAAAAATAAAGAGGCACTATATTAAGTTAGTTAATTGCTTCTACTTCTATTTGACTTTCAAATTGTAGGGGAAAAGAATTTCCCTGTTTTGGGGGGAAGGGAGAGAGTCCCAGACCCATATTCATCATATAAGCGTAAAGACTTTAAGTGTGAGAATTTAGGTCCACATTCTTTCAGGCTTTCAAAGCATCCAGGTACATTTAAACTGGCTAAAGTGATTTCTTTAGAAAAGTTCCCATTATGTGATCTCTGAGCAAAGTGCTGTGAAAGTTACAGATAAGGGCATTTTTATGGTCACGGGACTATTTCAGTCTGTAGGTGTTGTAGAGAGAGCTGAAAGCTGGTGTAGGGTAGTGATTTTTATTCCCCTTTTATTTAAAGGAAGTGTGGGCAAAAGTTTCTTCAGGTTTCTTAATTTTAGTTTCTTTAGGTTAAAGAAATACGTGTGTGTGTGTGTGTGTGTGTGTGTGTGTGTGTGTGTGGTAAATAATATGACAGTCTCAATGTTTTAGCTTAAACTGGTAAGTGATGATAAATTATTGTTTTGATGCCTTTGTTTTTTTGACATCTTAAGCCATTGTGTAAATTTATGTGATTGCGCAATGTGTTTTTGAATTTAGGTCAGATCAACCATTGGCTTGCCCTCTGTCATAGTCAGCTGAAAGTGACTTCTCAAGTTTCTTCAGGATGCCCGCAGCACTTGTGGAGAATAGCCAGGTTATCTGTGAAGTCTGGGCCAGCAATCTAGAAGAAGAGATGAGGAAGATTCGAGAAATTGTGCTCAGTTACAGTTATATTGCCATGGTAAAGAGCTCTACTCTACGTTTTTTGACTCAACTCTGGTATGGATTTAGGGAGTATTTAATTAGAGATTTTGAAATAATTGATCACACTGAAGTGGTGGCATATTAAACATGATAGAAGTTTATATTGCTTTTATGAAACAGCAAGGGTAGCCAATGTGTCTGAGAAGGATGTAACCTCTAATGCCTTGATGTTTTGTAATGTTACTTTGTGTTTGAAAGTCTTTAAAGCCATAGGGCATATCTGTCTCACAGATATGGTACATTTGTATAGTATTTAAAACAATTTTAAAAAATTGTCAGCATTTAAAAATCAAGGGACCTACTTAAATTCCAGATTTTTTCCATCTCTAGAAAAATTGGAAAGATCTGGCAGTATAGGGGCCACATTCCTGCCTGACGTTGAGTGGCTGACTAGGGACATGTGTGTATCATGGTGATATCCAGGGCCTCTTTTAGAGGAGGCATGGAAGCTGCCGCAACTCCTAACCATTTTCATACCCAGTTTTGCTTTACTCCTTTTTTTCTGATTGGCATTTTCACTTCTCTATTTCTATATTTTTATTTCTATATTGTTCTGAACTTAGAATGTTCTTAATTGCCTATATATCTACCTATAGTTTATCACCTACTTCTATTAATGTCCTGCTAGGATCTCCAAGTTGTTGTGTAAAGCTTTGTGATTTTCGTGCTTCTGTAGATGTCAACAAGATCAGTATTTTAAGATAGATTTTTTTTTTTTGCTCAATCTTGGGGCTTGTCACATAACTTTTATAAATTGAGGTAAAAATATTGTTTATGAATGATCAATTCAGTATCCACTATTTTGTGAAACCTTATGTGGTTTTTTTTTCCAGGACACAGAATTTCCAGGTGTTGTGGTGCGACCAATTGGTGAATTTCGTAGTTCCATAGATTACCAGTATCAGCTTTTGCGGTGCAATGTTGACCTTTTAAAAATTATCCAGCTGGGCCTTACATTCACGAATGAGAAGGGAGAATACCCTTCTGGAATCAACACTTGGCAGTTCAACTTCAAATTCAACCTTACGTAAGTGTCTGAGATACTTCTTAGGTCTGCAACATTTGTGCAGATTGTAATTTCTAATTGAATTTATTTTTTATTAAAAAATATATTTTTTTATTGATTACAGAGAGGAAGGGAGAGGGAGAGAACGATAGAAACATCAATGATGAGAGAGAATCATTGATTGGCTACCTCCTGCAAGCCCCCTACTGGGGATCAAGCCCACAACCTAGGCATGTGCCCTTGACTGGGAATCAAACCAGGGACCTTTCAGTCTGCAGGCCGACGCTCTATCCACTGAGCCAAACCAGCTAGGGCTCTAATTGAATTTATTAATTTTAAGTTTTATTTCCACCAAACCCAGGTAAGGGTTGGACAGAGCAGTCAAGCAGAGGATGAAATAAATAATCTCAAAGTAAAGTCCCCCTTAAAACTCTCACAAGTCAACAATAAAAAGACAAATAGTCCAATTAGAAATGGGCAAAATATCTGAATAGACATTTCTCCAATGAAGATATACAAACCTATCTATCTTCTATATATATAAAAGGCTAATATGTAAAGTGTCCCTTTGGGAGTTTGACCGGGAGTTCGATCGCTTGCTATGACATGTGCTGACCACCAAGGGGCGGCGGGGAATGAAGAAAGGCCCTGGCCAACAGCTGGAAGGCTCTGATTGGCCCTGATCGCTGGCCAGGCCTAGGGACCCTACCCATGCACAAATTTTGTGCACCGGGCCTCTGGTGGTTAATAAGCCCATGACAAGTTGCTCATAATTGTGTCATTAGAGAAAGGCAAATCAAAACCACAGTGAGATACCACTTTATACCCCTAGATGGCTATAATAAAAAGACATAAATGTTGGGGAGGATGTGGAGAAATTAGAATATTCATACATTGTTAGGGGAAATGTAAAATGGCATAGCCTCTTTGGAAAACAGTCCAATTAGAAAGGCTGTTTCTCAAAAGGTTAAACAGAGTGTTACTATATGACCCAGCAATTCTACTCATAGGCATATGTCCAGGAGATTAGAAAACATATCCATGCAAAACCTTGTAGTGAATGTTTATAGCAGCATTATTCATGAAGGCCCAAAAGTTGAAGCAATCCAAATATCTGTGAACTGACAAATGGATAAATTAAACAGTATATCCATGGAATTGAATGTTATGGAGCAGTAAAAAGGAATAAAGTACAGATATATACTATACATGGATGAACTTTGAAAGCATGCTTAGAGGAAGGAGCCAGGCACAAAAGCCCACATATATGATTCTGTTTATTTGAGATGTCCAAGATAGGCACATCTAGAATAAATTAGTGGTTCTAGAGCAGGGAATGGGGAGATTATGGGATAATGGGGAGTGATTGCTTAATGAGACAGGGTTTCCTTTTGAGGTGATGAAATGGTTTATAATTGGTGGTGATGATTGCAAATCTGTGCTTTGCGAAAAACGATTGAATTGTGTCCTTTAAATGAGTGAATTGTGTAGTATGGGAATTATCCTATATAATAAAAGGTTAATATGCAAATTGACTGAACAGCGGAACACTGGGCGCTTGACACTCACTGACCACCAGGGGGCAGATGCTCAACGCAGGAGCTGCCCCCTGGTAGTCAGTGCGCTCCCACAGGGGGAGCTCCAATCAGCCAGAAGCCTGGCTCATGGCTGGCGAGCATAGCAGCAGAGGCAGGAGCCTCTCATGCCTCTGCAGCAGTCGGACATCCCCCGAGGGCTCTGGGACTGCGAGAGGGTCTAGGCCAGTGATGGCGAACCTATGACACGTGTGTCAGAGGTGACACGCGAACTCATTTTTTTGGTTGATTTTTCTTTGTTAAATGGCATTTAAATATATAAAATAAATATAAAAAATATAAATCTTTGTTTTACTATGGTTGCAAATATCAACAAATTTCTATATGTAACACGGCACCAGAGTTAAGTTAGGGTTTTTCAAAATGCTGACACGCCGAGCTCAAAAGGTTCGCCATCATTGGTCTAGGCCAATGGTCCACAAACCGCAGCTCGCGAGCCACATGCGGCTCTTTGGCCCCTTGAGTGTGGCTCTTCTACAAAATACCACATGAGGGCGCGCACGTACAGTGCGATTGAAACTTCGTGGCCCATGCGCAGAAGTCAGTTTTCGGCCTGGGCCAGTTATTGTCATGACTTAATTTTATGGATATTGTAAGGAATTTAATTTTATCAATAAATAATATCGTTATTAAGTATGATATCAAGTTTTATTCAACGTACCTATAGTTTAACTAAGACTTAAAACTTTAAGTAAAGTTTATTAAGTTAATTTTAGGGAACGTTGTGGAGTGAAAGAAGATGTAGTGTCGAGGATTGAGAAAGGTATGTTGAGATGGTTTGGACATATAGAGAGGATGAACGAAAGGAGATAGACGAAACAAGTATACAAGACTAGTGTGGATGGGAGAGTTGGAAGGGGTCGACCTCAGCGAATGTACCTCAATCAGATTGAGGATGTTTTTAGCAAAGGCCAGCTTAGGAGTACCCTAATTAAGTTAATAACAGTGTACCTACCTATATAGTTTAAGTTTAAAAAATTTGGCTCTCAAAAGAAATTTCAATCATTGCACTGTTGATATTTGGCTCTGTTGACTAATGAGTTTGCCGACCACTGGTCTAGGCTGAGTTGAGGGATGCCTGAGCTGAATTTCATGCACTGGGCCTCTAGTATCTCAATAAAGCTATTTAAAGTCAAGTCAGTTTCCCAGTTAAGAGATCAGTATTTGAATTTCTGCCATTTCTTTACTGGTTGACGTTGGGTCAGTTATTTTTCCTTTTGTAATTCAGTTTCCTTATCTGTAAAAGAGGGTTATTAGTATTTTTCATAATAAAAATAAGACATAGAGTGGGTGCTAATCAAAGGTAGTTGAAACAAGGCTATTTGGTAATGGGAAAATTTTGATGTAACTTAAAAAATGTGGTAAAAAATAAAATTTACTGTCTTTGCACTGTTGTGAAACAGACCTCCAGAACTTTCATTTTGCAAGCCTGAAACTGTATACCTATTAAATAACCATCCTTTTTTCCGTTCCCCTAGCTCTTGTTAACCACCATTCTACTTTCTGTTTAAGTGGGATCCTATAGTATCTATCCTATCTTATAAAGAGGTAATAATGCAAATTGACCATCATGCCAACACACAAGATAGCCACCCCCATGTGGACACAAGATGGCCAGCAGGGGGGGGGGGGCAGTTGGGAGGGACTAGGCCTGCAAGGGAGGGCAGTTGGCGATCAGGTCTGCAGGAGAGGGCAGTTAGGGGTGACCGGGCCAGCAGAGGAGGGAAGTTGGGGTGACCAGGCTTGCAGGGGAGGACAGTTGGGGGGGACCCAGGCCTGCAGGGGAGGGCAGTTAGGGGTGACCGGGCCAGCAGGGAAGGGCAGTTGGGAGTGACCAGGCCTGCAGGAGAGGGCAGTTGGGGGTGACCAGGCCAGCAGGGGAGGGCAGTTAGGGGCAATCGGGTTGGCAGGGGAGCAGTTAGGTGTCGATCAGACTGGCAGGGGAGTGGTTAGGAGGTGGTCAGGCTGCCAGGCAGAAGCAGTTATGGGCAATCAGGCATGCATGCATGCGAGCGGTTGGGAGCCAGCAGTCCTGGATTGTGAGAGGGATGTCCCACCGGGATCAGGCCTAAACGGGCTGTTGGACATTTCTCAAGGGGTCCCAGATCGGAGAGGGTGCAGGCTGGGCTGAGGGACACGCCCCCCCCTTCACGTGCACGAATTTCGTGCACCGGGCCTCTAGTTGTTTTATGAGTGGCTTATTTCACTTAGTATAGAGTCATCAAGGTTCATCCATGTTGTAGCATGTGGCAGGATTTCTTTCCTAAAACTGAATAATATTGCATTGTATGTACTAGTATATGCCACATTTTGTTTAGCCATTCACCTGTTGATGGACATTTGGGTTGTTTTCACCTCTTGACAATTGTAAATAGTACTGCTGTAAAGATAGATATGCAAATGTCTCTTCAAGACCCTGTTTGCAATTCTTTTTGATATATGCCCAGAAATGGGATTGCTGGATCATATGGTAATTGTCTTTTTCAGTTTTTGAGGGTGATGTAAATTTTAAGGGGCATATTGAGGGGACACTATCGTTTTGCTGATTGTTTGAGGTAGTGTTTCTGTATTTCTTATTAGGCCCCAGTAATTTTAATTTTTAAAACGTTTTTATTGATTTTTAGAGAGAGAGGAAGGGAGAGGGGTAGAGAGATGGAAACATCAATGAGAAGGGAACAACATCAATCGGCTGCCTCCTACACCCCCCTCCTGGGGATTGAGCCTGCAACCTGGGCATGTGCCCTGAACTGGGAATCGAACAGGCCACCTCTTGGTTCCTAGGTCAATGCTCAATTACTGAGCAACACGGGCTGGGCAGCCCAGCTCTTTTTTTTAATCCTCACCCGAGGATATATTTTCCATTGATTTTAGAGAGAGGAAGGGGGAAGAAGAGAAAGAGAAACATCTATGTGAGAGAAACATCGATTGGCTGCCTCCCATACATAATCCCTGGGATTGCACCTGCACCAGTAATTGATTCCATCACCTTTCAGTGTATGGGATGATGCTCCAACCAGCTGAGCCACACTGGCCACAGCTAGGCTCCAACACTGCTTTGTTTAACTAGGCACCAAGAGCATTTGATGGCTCAGGAATCATTTTTTGATTGTTATCCATGTGTTTTGACTTTCAAAGAATTATTTTAGGAGATAATCTGGATTGTTCCTTTAACTGCATTTTTCTAGTCCATTGCCAAAGCCTGTTATTTGTAACATAATGATAATATAATATGCAAAATAATATAATAACTTTATTGCAGGATTTGTATTTAAAATGTTTACATAAGGTAGAGCAAAAGATTGTAATTCAACACCAGTTTTAATTTAGTGAAAAAAATTAAAATTGTGGTGGTTTTCTTGCCAGTTATATCACCTAAATTTATGTGAAAAACAAAAGAAAGGAAAACAGTGAACTCTGATGGAAAATGAGTTATTTCCCTCCTTTTGTGTTATTCTAAATATTTTTGTGTTTAAGGGATATATCTTTACAGTGAAATATTATGCCAGCATTACAAAGACTGTGATATGTCTGAGTATTGATCTAGAAAGATGAACTGTGTTATAAAGGTGAAGGGATGGAGGCGTGTATGTGTAGGCAGAGAAAATAGTCTGCAAGGTTATATAAACCGAGTTGTTAATAGTTATTATTTCCATGGGGGAACATTATAAGAGTACTAGGGGCCCAGTGCACGAATTTGTGCACCTTGAAAGGAATTGTGGGCCACGAGGCTGAGGTGGGCACAGGGGCAGGTCTCGGCCCATCCTCTGTGCCCCCGCCTGGCCCCTCCCGCCATGGCCCCTGGTCCCCTGTCTGCCAGCAGCCCCGCTCCCGCCACCGTTCCCATGTGCTGACAGCACTGGCCCCGCTCACACCTCCTGGCGGCGTGGAGCGATTGGGGCCGGCGCCAGCAGCAGGTGCAAGCGGGGCCAGCACCGTCAGTGTGTGAGAGCATCATCTGCTGCCCCGATCATCCCTCAGGAGCAGGGGGAGGTAGAGAAGCCCTCAGGCGCGATCAGGGCTGGCGCTGGGTGCTGGCAGCGGGTGTGAGCGCCTAGCAGGACTGTGGCACACAGGAGCAAAGTATTTTCGGTAACCACCAGAGGCTCACCCCGATGACAGTGACTGGCACCCTGGTCTAGTGTCCCCGCTCACCTGCTCCACCATCCTGCCGCAGCCAATGCCCGCCATGTTCTGCACTCTGTTGCCTGCTGCTGACACCCGCCATGTTCCACGCGCACCCCCGGTGATCAGTGCACGTCGTAGCGACCAGTTGTTCCGTTGTTCCGCCGTTCGGTCTATTTGCATGTTAGGGTCTATATGTATATATATAAATTTTTTCCATTTTCTTCTATTTGAGATTTTTCTTTTAAAAATTGGAAAATGTGGATATTTTATAATTAGGACATTTTATGGGAAAAATCACATTTTGTATCTGTTAGAGATAAGATCATCTTCTTTTTATGCTTGCTGGAATACTGGAAAGAAGGAATTGTATTCTTAAATAATGAAAGATTTAAAGAAAACTTGTTGTATGATATGCTGTTACCCACTAGTACTTCTGTTACATTATCCATCAACTAAGACATGAACACCTTCTTTTTTAGAGAGGACATGTACTCTCAGGATTCCATAGATCTCCTTGCAAACTCAGGACTACAGTTTCAGAAGCACGAAGAGGAAGGGATTGACACACTGCACTTTGCGGAGCTGCTTATGACATCAGGGGTGGTTCTCTGTGACAATGTCAAATGGCTTTCATTTCACAGGTCAGCCCCAGAGAATGTGTAGCTCTCAGTTTGGGAGCAGGGAATTGAATTCTTACGCTCTCTTCTGTTGGTCACTAGCAGTTATGAAGTTGACATGGTAACTATTACTCATGTTTGTTTTTCAAAAAACAATTTGGAGCTCATATTGGTTTGTGTTACACAGTAATGGGCTCTATCATGTAGCTGCCAGTGGGTGTATTCCAAGTGGAAAGTAGTGGGTGGAGAGGATCGAAGCACTTGGTTGTTTATTCTTACTATTTTTAAAATATATTTTTATTGATTTCAGAGAGGAAGGGAGAAGGGGAGACAGAAACATCAATGGTGAGAGAGAATTATTGATTGGTTGTCTCCAGCATGCCCCCTACTGGGTTGAGCCCCCAACCCAAGCATGTGCCCTAACCAGGAATTGAACCAGCAACCTTTCCATCCCGTTCAGTTGCACGGGATGATGCCTAGGCAACTGAACCATACTGGCCAGGTCTATCGGTTGATTCTTGTATGTGCCCTGAATTGGGGATGGAACTAGCAATCCTGATGAATTGGGATGATGATCTAACCAACTTAGCTACCCAGCCACGGCCAGTACTTCTGAATTTTTGATGAATAAAACACACATTTATAAACCTTTGAGTTTTCTTCCATATTAGTTTGTGTTGTTTTTTAATGGAATGTTCAGATCACAGTACGGTAAACTACTTTGGAATACTGAAAGGTGGTAGCATCATAAATTTTGAGAAGTAAAGTTGTTGAATGCGGGGGCCTAATAACTGCTGCTTTTTCACTTAGTGCCTCCTCTTCTCCTTGCAGTGGCTATGACTTTGGCTACATGGTAAAGTTACTTACTGACTCTCGTTTGCCAGAAGAGGAACATGAATTCTTTCATATTCTGAACCTTTTCTTCCCATCCATTTATGATGTGAAATACCTGATGAAGAGTTGCAAAAATCTTAAGGTACAATATTTTTCTTAAAATAGTAACAACAGCAAAAAAAAGCAGACTTATCACCTTGCTTTGTTATTTGTTCAGCAGGCATTCTTGAGTACCTCCTAGATGCCAACATTGTACTAGACAGGTTGTATATATAGGTAATTGCCACAGGAATTTGTGTGGCATGAAGGGAGTCCTCTACTTCTCTCATAAGGCAGGCTTTCTTCACTTAAGGTCTATACCGGTTGGTAACAGGAGGTGTATGTGCAGTTTGTCAGGAATGGGGTCTATAGCATACCAGACTCCGATCAGAGGAGTTCTTAACCCAACACCAGCAGTTTTCAGCTGGTGTGCCGCAAAACCTGTAATACCTGACTATTTAGTTAAAGGCATTGACATTTTTTCCCTTAGACTATCAAATAAAAAAATGACAACAGCCAACACATAGCTGTCCGATGTGAATGCCCTGTCTTGAACCATAAATATATAGGTCATATAATAAGCGTTGAGTTTTATTGGTCACATCACATAATAAGGTTGTATCTGATTAACTCTTGGTACTTGATATCCTTACATACAGTTATAAACACTTGATTTTTGAAAAAGTCACTTTGGAACAAAAAGGGTCAGATCGACAAAAAAATAGTATGCCGCATAATTTTGGCAGTTAATTTGTGTGCCATGAAATGGAAAAGGTGGAAAGTTGCTTCCCTAGATAGTTTAAGAACTCACTACCCTAAATATATTATTGATATAAGAGGTTTGCTGTTGTGTATTAGATTGGCATTTACTACTTCTTTTTTTATTTCTTTTAAAATAATTTTTATTTATTGACCTTAGAGAGAAAGAAGGAAGAGAGAGCAAGAGAAAGAGAGAGAGACATTGATTTATTGTTCAACCCACCTAGGCATTTACTGGTTGCTTCCTATATGTGCCCTGACCGAGGATTGAACCTGAAACCCTGGTTTATTGGGACGATGCTCCAACCAACTGAGCTACCCAGCCAGGGCTGGCATTTACTATTTCTTAAACCTTGTTTTATAGCAGTTAATATTTTATGGAGCAAAGATCTGACAAAATTAATGATAAAGAGAAAAAAGGAGTGAAAAATGGAACATAACACAATGTATCATTTGGAGGGCTAGGGTAAGGCCTGTTAAGTAAATGGCCTGTTACATCACCAAAAGAAGTAAACTCAAGAATGGGCTTCATTGACTTTAGTAGGGGAGTGTTGGGTCTGTAATATTATCTTTGTTTTCCTTACATCTCCAGGGAGGTCTTCAGGAAGTTGCTGATCAGTTAGATTTGCAGAGAATTGGAAGGCAGCATCAGGCAGGCTCAGACTCACTGCTGACAGGAATGGCATTCTTCAGGATGAAAGAGGTAAGGCAAGGAGATGGATGACCTTTGTGCGCTGAGGTTTGTTGAAATTTATAGTGTCTATTGGAAGTTGATAACTACATTGAAAGCAGTTTTTTGTTTTTGTTTGTTATGATGTTCAGTATATTAAATATAGTTTGGAAAGCAAAGAAGCATTCTGAAATGGAGGCCACTCAGCATGCCCAAATCTAAAAGTATATTTGGTGTTCCTAGCAGCTCTAATTGTTATAATTATTTGTTTTTCTTCTAATTTCTATTATGTGAACACGTTTGGTAGACCACCCACTTATCCTACAGCTGACATCAAAATCAACAGCTCTAAGGTTAGGAACAAGACAAGGATGCCCACTCTTGCTACTTTTATTCAACATGGTATTGGTAGTTCTAGCTAGGACAGTTAGGCAAGAAAAATAAAAGGCATGTAGATCAAAAAAGAGGAAGTAAAACTCTATTTACAGACAACATGATATTATCTATGGAAAACTTAAAGATTTCACCAAAAAACTGTTAGAACTAATAAATTCAGTAAAGTTGCAGGATACTAGCCCTGGCAGGATAGCTCAGTTCATTAGAGCATCGTCCTGATACTTCAAGGTTGCAAGTTCAATCTTCGGATAGGGCACATACAAAAAGCAACCAATAAATGCATAAGCAAGTGGAACAACAAATCAATGTCCCTCCCTCCCTCCCTCCTTCCCTTCCTCTCTCTTCCAAAATCAATTTAAAAAAAAAGTTACAGGATGCAAAATCAATATACAGAATTCTATTGGGTTTCTTTACACTAATAATGAAATATAAAGAAATTAAAGAAAAAAAATCCCACTTATAATTGCATCACAAAGAATAAAATACCTTGGAATAAATTTAACCAAAGACCTGTACACTGAACACTATAAGACATTGATGAAAGAAATTGAAGATGACACAGATGAGTGGAAAAATAATCCGTGCTCATGGATTGGAAGAGTTAATATTGTTAAACTGTCCATACTACCCAAAGCAAAAATTCCAATGGCATTTTCCACAGAAATAGAGCAAACGATTCTAAAATTTACATGGAACCACAAAAAGATTCCAAATAGAGCAATCTTGAGAAAAAACAAAGCTGACAGCATCATTCTTCCTAATTTTGTCCCCCAAAGTACTTTTTGCAGTGTCTGGAGACATTTTGGTTGTCACAACCTGGGGGTTAGGCTTGAGGGGGCAGTGTGCTACTGGCCAGGGATGCTGCTACACATCCTACACTGGACAAGCCCCCCTGCACCCCAACAAAGTCATTCTGCCCAGTTGTGCCAGGGTTGAAATAAAGTCCTGTTATAAGTGGTTAATGTCCATTATCTCACTCGTTACAATATTACTGTTTTATAGATAGGGAACAGGGGCTTACGGAGAATTTAAGTGACTTTCCTAAGGTCACACAGGAAGTCAGTCTGTAGAGCCCAAGCTCCTAACCATTGCACTGCCTGCTAAAGAGAAGGGACGAAATGGGACATTTGTACTTAAACAGCAGCAGCAGCACAGGGATCCTAGTAGTAAAAGAACTCATGGAAAATAGGTCTGTTCACAAAGGAGCATGGAAAGGTTTGGAACCTTTCTGTATGGAATTAATTTCTAGTTGGTTACATTTTGAGGGCTCTAAGAGAGCCGGGAAGTGCTGATGTGGTAGTATTGAGACTTGGCATGATTCTTACCACGGGTTCTCTGTCCCATTCTGCAGTTGTTTTTTGAGGACAGTATTGATGATGCCAAGTATTGTGGGCGGCTCTATGGCCTGGGCACGGGAGTGGCCCAGAAGCAGAATGAGGATGTGGACTCTGCCCAGGAGAAGATGAGCATCCTGGCGATCATCAACAACATGCAGCAGTGATGGTGGCGAGGCTCCGCGGAGCGGGCCGGCCCCAGAATGGTGCTCACTGTGCTGACTGTATACTTACCTTCCTCCCCAAGAGAAACCGCTACTTTTGAGCAAGCTGTACTTACCATCTCCACTGCGCAGAAGGACTTCTGTTTTACTAAAGACAAAGAAGTCTTTTAGATCCAGAAGAGGGCAGTTTTCTCTGAATTTGTAAACAAGTCTTATGTATTCCTCATCCCTAGGCCTCTTTTCCAGTTGCCTCCTGCCACCAGCATCCATGGCTCATTTGACACCTTTTTAAATACCCAGGACGAGTGAGAAACAAACTAGTAAAATGTATATAACTCTTACCTGTTGTCATTCTTTTTCTTTTAAATTTGTTGCTAATCTCTGAGGATGAAGACTTCTGATTCTCAGCTGAGCTGAGGGCTTCCAGGAAAAGTAGAACAAAATGGTATTCTTAAGTGTGGGTGATAGGTGTTGAGTCTTTTCCTTTTTTTGACCCTTCTCCAGGACATTTGCTTTCCTCATGGAAATGAATTACATGCTCAGTGCTGAAATTTGAAGACCAGATAATAACTTACCTTAAAAAAAAAAATTCTACTGAACCTGTCTACTCTTTATTCATAAGGAACACCAGAGTGGGCATTAAGTTAACCACTTAAGTGTCTTTACATCCTATTGTGCCACTGAGATTTGCTGTCACATGTGCATCATTTGAAATCATTTTATGTTTTCATATAACAAAATCGCAGATTTGAGAAATTAGTTAAGATCAGATTTTTGAATCCTAAGTCTGTTGTGATTTCAGATGGGCATTTGTATTCCCCCACCTCTCTTCTCTGTTTTCCGCTTTTCCTTTTAGCAAACCTGAGAAGTTAGGGAGATGGATTAATGTGAGTACCAGAAATGTGAATCTTCAAAAAGTTTTAGTAGTTCATATAAACAGGGCAGTAAGGAATTTGTTTTACAGAGTTCTCGTGGAGTAATATCGCACAACTGGGGTAGAAAGCTCAGGACTGTGATTCCACCCCCCCCTCCCAAAACTAGTCATTTAAAAAGTACACTGTATTTTTTTTTTTTAAATGACAGTATGGACAATTTTGAAAACCCATTTGCAATGGTGGAAATGAAACTGGTAACTCACTGAAGTGGATGAATAGTCTTGCATTTTAAAAGCTTATAGAAAACTCAATTTGAAATGATTCAAAAATGTCAAGTATTATAAGCTGGTATTTAAGATGCTTGTAAATATATTTATGTTTTTAATTTTGTATAATAAAGATTTCTTTTTAACTACTGGCATGCAGGTTTGATCTTTTATAGCTATGAATTCCTGGCTCTAGAAATGGACATTTTAACGGTTGGTAACAGAGCATCTTGTCTATCCCCAAAGTCTTGCCTCCGTTTTCCACAAGTTGGCTCGCATACAGAAAGCTTCGCTTTGAAGGAAGCTTTTAATGAGCAGCCGTGTAAGTGGAACACTTCACACTCGTCGCTGATTATCTGGCCTTACTTGGAAACCAGTTTTAACTCTATTTCCTGGGACCACTCATTATATATGTGGTGAATTAGCTTGTTAGTGAAATTCTGGCAGAAAAGTCATGAATCAGTTCAGTTGTTGGGAAAGAGTGCGCCTCGTCAACCCCACCCAACTGTCTAATTTTTATGTTCTAGCAACTGGGATATTATGGAAACATCTGTTCCTGACATTGTTCAACTATTTAACCAAAGAAAAGAACAGACCTCAAAAGAATTCTCATTAGTTTAAAAATAAATAAATACAAGAACAAGGGTTTGTAATTAATTAGTTTGTAGGGTCCATTATGCATGATCCAAAAGTCAGAGTCCAATAATCCAAAACTTACATATACAAAATTAGGAAGGAATATGCATTTTTCTTAGAAGATCATCTGTGGCTTCAATCTAATTCTCCTGTGATCCAAAAAAGATTAAGAACTGAAACTAATTTCTTTCTGAGCTATTTTGATCACCATCAAAACTGAAGGGATAAGACTCATTTGAGTTATTTGTTCTTCTAACACTTTAGTAAATAATTTTAAACAAGCAATTACATGAAACAAAACCAAGTTTTTGACCTAGGATAGACTCAACATGATGGGTGAGGCTTGTTTCACTCACATTCAGTAGAAGTGTAGTTAGTAGTAGTAGAGTAGAAGGGGAGAAGAGCCCAAGTTAACAAAAAAAATTTAAAAATGATACCAATCGTCATGAATTACAGCAATTCTATCTCAAACAAGAACGACACTGTTTATGATCAGGGGAAGCATTTATAAAGGTAGCTTGTGTATAAGAACATAACACATGGACAATTAAAAGTTTCTCCTCTTTGGATGAAATCTACATAAGGCTTTAGAGATGACCAACAGTTACTCTTGCAGGTGTTCTAACAACTGCTGGCTTTTGATGATCCTTTAGTAGGAAACCACAACTGAATTCAAAGTCAGATTGTTTTTAAGGGTAGAGTTGATTCAAACTTGACCCTCGTTTTGTATTATTTGGATCACTGCAAAAACATCTAAGGATCAGAGCAAATGCCTGGCAGAGGTGAAAGGTGTCAAGACGTTTTGAATTTGATGCAATTTATTTTAAAGGTCCTTGAAAGTTCACGTGCAGAAGGTCTGGCAGTGTCTTTGGTAAACTTTAGTGCTGCCGTATTTCTGAAGCAGCTCTTGGGCCTGTTGCTGCATTTCCTGGGTCACGCTGCCAGGACACTGGGACCCGATGTGAAGCAGGACCAGGCAGCACTCCAGCACATCTGGGAAGGGCCAGGTCTGAAAGATGAGAGTGAAACAAGGAAGCATTTGCGAAAGAGCCACAAACACCTGCATAGAAGGCACCAGTAACTCAAAGTCTCAACTGACACTTCTCAGGCACAGCTGGGCCATTTCTCTCACGATGTTTTGTGAGAGAAGACAGGCAATGCCTTGTTCTTCATCAGTTACTCTAAGGAGAGATGATACTCAAAACTGGAATGTTTACTGGGACGTCCTTCTCCAACGAATACAATCTTCTAGAGCTCTACTCCAATTATTTAAAAAGGGATGTTTCTATTACTCCCAGGGCCACATCCAAATACACTTATCCATCTGTAAGCTATCAAATATATGACACTAATTTTCTTTACCTCCCAGTTACAAAATTTGTTAGGTTTCTCTGAAGACTGAGGTATAAAATTGCTTGTGTTGTCAACAATTCTACTCTCACAAAATATTTTAGCTAACCAAAGGCAACTAGATCCTAACTTTTAAGCACATTCAAATGTGTAGAGATTTCAGAAACTGAAAAGTAGATGATCTTAAAGAATTTGGTATAGTCAATTGATATTACAAAAAGTAATGTTTTACCAAATGAACTGCTATAAATCTTACCTTAACACTCTCAGGAAACTTAGCTATTCTCTCATTCGCCTCCGTAAGCCTTTTGGTTAATTCAGGTAGAGAAAGTGGCTCATTTTTCTCTTCTTTACTGGTAAATAATAATAAAAAGTGTAAGTCATATTTGTCTTGCCCTGGGTAACTTTTATTTCAATTGCCTATAAATAAAATTCCCTTATCACCTGGGTCTTTATCTCCCATCTTTAAGAAAAGTTTAAGAGAAGGCAATTTAATATGATGTGACATAAAGTTTTCAAAATGCAATATTATTCCTTATCATATTCCAAATCCCCACTCCTTAGACACACAGCTCCAATGAAATACAGGACTCTTGGGGGATTCAATCTGCAGCCAAGAGCAGAGGGCCTAGCTTCATTTGGGGAATGGGTAGAGCCGGGCTCTTACTCATGGGGTGTATGGACGCACATTTTTCCTGGAAGAGTGTGTTAAGCTTCTCAAAGGGGGTCCTGTGATCTACAGGTTAAGAGCTACTGGGTTAGAGAACTTTTCAGTGTTTTTCTTGTTATTAAAACCAAACCTAAAGCTGCTTAGAATGTTGTAGTTTATTGGAGAAGTAATTCAGAATTCTGAATCAAGATTTCAGTGGGAGTATTTTCAGAGCAATTAACATAGGGACGTCAAAGCTTCTTAATTTTAATTTGTAAAGTTAATAACAGCTTTAAGTTGGTCAGTATTGTAATTGCTATGTTTTTAGACCCTGTGCTGGGGGGCATAAGGTAAAAGGCACTCATCAGAATAACGAATCAATAACTTGACCACTGCAAACACCCATAGCAAAGTGCCTTATAATAATGCAAGCTCTACAGTGCCTGGTGATGGGCTCCTGTCATCTATCTGGTCCCTCTTTTCAATTGAAGTGATTAGGATGCTACAGCATCCGATCATTTGATTTCTCAGTTCGTGAGCAGTTCTGTGCACTACCCTCTTTGTGTATTTTTTTGTGATAGTACAGAACTAAACAATGGTTTTCATTAGTGACGCAATACATCTCATTTTACTGATTAATTTTTTGGGGGAACCTACTTAATGCACAAAAGTAGTATTGTACTATACTATTGTTATTAATAATTTTGTGATTTCATTTAATTCTTAAGCAAGGTAGGAGTTGGTACTCCCATTTACAGACAAGGGACCTAAAGCTCAGAGACACTGAGACTCTTGCCTGAGGTCACAGCAGGGCCAGGACTAGAACCCACGTTTGGCTCCAAAGCCTGTGTGCTCACCACTAAATCATGTTGCTTCCACGTGTCCTGACCTATCTCGTCATGTATTGATTGTGCTGTGACTCTGTGAGAACCCAGGAGGGTATTTTTAATTCCATCGTGCATTGACTCAGTACTTACCCCAGGCTCTGAGGACTAGAGAGGGGCTGTTGGGCTTCCTGTTCAGGGTCATTTTTATCAGGACCATTCGCTGTGGGTTTGCAGAATTGACTCTTCTGGTGCCGGCGGATCATTTCTGCCAAGGTCTCCTGAACTTCAGCAACAGTTCTCTGTGAGTTTTGGAAACTGGCGTGCTTTTCTGAAAAAAGCTCCTTACAAGTGTTCAGCATTCGCTTACTTTCCTCTGTGAGTCTCATGTCTAGTTCTGGAGGCTTGCTTGGCTCTGGCTGAGGAGCTTGGGTGTCAGTTTCTTCAGAGCCGGCATCATCCAACTGCTGGCTTTGTTCAACAGAGGTTGTCCTTCTATGAGCAGCCCTTACCCAGACACTAGATTCAGGGCAGGGCCTGGAGAGAGACCACCAGAATTCATACAGACGCCCATAGATAAAAAAGGCCTCCAAACTTTTGAAAGCTGGTGTGGCAGGGGACTGATGGTCACCCAGCTTGTCTCTTAGGTGATCACAGCCTAGGAAAAGAAGGAAAGGACTTGGGGTTGTGCATTTCTCTGTCTGCCAGAAATCTGGCCTCCTACCTGCATGTTGTTTCCTATCGCCTAAGAGACTCCAAGAAAAGACAGCAATGATCTATGGGACCATATACCTCCCACCAAAAGCCAACCAAAGCTAAACATTTGGGGGAACCTACTTAATGCACAAAAGTAGTATTTTAGGACAATGTTCTTGTTGCTACAGGCTAGTCGGTCATGATATAAAATGTATTCAATCTGTCTGACTGACGGCTCTGGGGATCCTATTGTGTCTGTGAGAAAAATCACAGTGATATAGTTTTGTGACTATGCAATTCAAGTATGTCTATCTGTTGTTTTTTTAATCCTCACCCAAGGATATGTTATTGATTTTAGAGAGGGGGCAGGGCAGGAGAGAGAAACATCCATGTGAGAGAGAAACATTCATCAGTTGCCTCCTGTACATGCCCTGACTGGGGATCGAACCCACACCTAGGTATGTGCCCTGACTAGGAATGGAAGCTGCAACCTTTTTGGTGTGTGAGACGACACTCCAACAGAGCCACTCAGCCAGAGCAAGAAGTGCCTATCTTTTGTGCTTCTCCAGTCTTACTAATTTATGAGTACAAGGCTACTTCTCTTGCTCTTAAACTGTGTAGAAAATAAGTACGAGGCATAGGGTAGGGTCAGGTAAAGGGCTCAGACATTCTGGCTATTCTCTTAGGAGCCTAGGTAAGAGAGCTCAAACTTTCTACTAAATGACACCACTAGCCAATAACCATCCCAGAGCCGTCTGTCAGTGGTGTGCGTGGGGTCGTTTACCCTCAGGAAGAAAGGCCGAGTGCACTTCCTGCATGACGGTGAAGTTCCCCGAGTCGTAGCTCCGGACCACAGCCCGAAGCAGAGCTTCCACAGCCTTGTCCCAGGAGGCCACCTGCTGGCTCAGCACTGCCAAAGTCAGGTCATGGCAAATGTGAAGCAGGAGCTGGAGGGAGAGGCCAGAGTCTGTTAAACACCCTCTCACAGAAAGCACGAGGGGCACCACAATGTTCCTATTAACGGCACTTGGACAGAAGTACACACAGTCTACATTTAAGAAAGGTCCTCCTGCCACCATTCATTTTTGCTTCCCTACCTGAAGCTTTCATATCTAGTTACACAACAACGTATGCTGTCTGAGTTAAATCTGCTCATGTTAAGAAAATGCCTTCACATTTGTGTTTAATTAAAACAAAAAGTGAATTTCTGGAACTAAAATCTAATTAAAAACAACTACAAGCAAATCTGAACTATAAGAAAATTATCAATTTTAAGTGAACAATTTGATGAGTTTGGATAAATATATACATATCTATATAGATATACGTGCTGTAACTACACAGAAATCAAAACAGGACGTTTTCATCATTGGAAAATATTTCCATGTGCCCTTTGCAGCCAGTTCGCTCTCCCCAGCCCCTGGCAACCATTGATCTGGTTTTTGCCACTACAGTTTTGTCTTTTCTAGAATTCATGTAAATGGAACCGTGGAGTATGTAGTCTTTTGTGTCTTGGTTCTTTCACATAATGCTTTTGAGCTTCACTGATATTGTTTGTGTATCAGCAGTCTGTTCCTTTTTACTGCTGCATAGTATAGTACTCCTCTGTATGGATGTGCACAGCTTGCACATCCATTCACCAGCTGATGGATATTTGGGCAGGTTCTAGCTTTTGGCTGTTGTGACTAAGCTGTAATCATTTGTGCACAAGGCTGTGTGGACACCGGTTTTGTTTCTTTTAATGAAGTATCTAGGCAGTGGATTGCAGGGTCACTGGGCACGTGAATGTTTATAAGAAACTGCCACACCGTTTTCCAAAGTGTTATATCATTAATGAAGTTTCGTTCATCAGAAATATAATAATATCCCCTCATTTTCAAAAGAGAAATAGGTAAATTGAGATATATATTCATAGGACGGGTAGAATAGTTATAATGAATCAATTTGATCCCTGGATAGATTTTACAAACAATGGTCATTGCAACAAGCAACGAATAAAATGATACATATGGTCTGACATAGGGGCTGTGTTCGGTGCCTAGGAATGGGACTGAGGAATAGAACAAGGGATTTGAACTGGATTGTATTTCCTTTACCAAAAAACAAGAAAATACAAAACAACCCCCAAAATACTATGAAACAAAAATGACAAATGTGAACATTTGTTAACTCTGGTTGAACATTTTCTCTGCTTTCCTATATATTTAGACTTCTTTTTTCCTTTTAAAAGGGAATGCCAATAAATGGTGACAGAAGATTTGACTTTGGGTGGTGGGCACACAGTGCAATATACAGATATTGTAACACAGAAACCTACACCTGAAACCTCTATGTTCATGTTGACCAATGTCACCCCCATAAATTTAAAAAAAAAGAAAAGGGAATGCCGATTTAAATCTAACTTCAAAGCTAAAGGGCTTTAGTTAGTCTGAAGGGATCTTTCCAGGTTGCCTGGGCCTGCCTTGATCTTTTCTGAAATGCAAACTGGCATCGACTCGTTTCCTTACTACACTAGGCATCGATGAAGGAGAATTCCTACAACTGAGTGATGAATATGAGAAGCTCATGCAGACAGGTACCTGTTTGAAGGGAGTGTTATTTGTAGCAGATGGGTACTTGATCGTCTGCAGCTGCTGCAGCGCTGCCTGGTACTGCTCGGGGGTGTCCAGGCTGAAGGCGCTCTTCCATACTGCGGTCACCCTCTCCGGGAGGGGCCCTGCGATGCCGGTGGACCAGGTGTTGTAAGATGAGGAAGCGCTTTCGCCCTCTGACAGCTGCCTTTCCTCCCGGTGCTTAGAGAGCAGCTCATGAAGGCAAAACACCAGTCTCTGACCCTGGAACCCAACAAAGGAGAGGAACTGTTATGAAAAGTGCTTGACTAGACAGCCTCCCTGTTCTCACAGTGTCCCCCTTCGTGGCTGCCTGCCCAATGTGAGTTGTATCCGAGGGGAGAGTGATCTAGCAGACAGCTTTTCCAGATATCCTTTGGAGGAATTCCTTCCATAGCCCTTGGAGCCCAAGCAACCATTTTTATAACATGGAACCCCAACTCCAGCCCTGCCCACTGCAATTTAAGACAAACACAGATCAGCCAATATTTGTGCCCCTGTCTGAGAAAAGATGGTCTGGGCTCACCCAGTTCTTTCCCTTGCCCAGACCTGAGACAAGGGGAGTACAGAGAAGAGAGAGCCTAATGGGCAGAAGGTGCGGGAGCAGACAAACTGTAGATCTGAGCTGGAGCAGTGGGTAGGGGCCATGTCCAAACAGGTTTAACAGAGTCGCTGGAAGAGAACAGAAAGCCAGAGAAGGGCCTGGGAAACCTTGATGTTTTTTGGTTTTTAGTTGCTGTGAGATTCCTTGTAAGCCCCATAAACACTACTTCCTCAGTGACGCGTGGGAAGGTCTCTGTGCCCCTGCCAGAATACCATATCAGAACAACAGGCAGCATAAACTCAGAGGTGTTGTTGAGGACAAAGGTGATGCTAAATGACTATTCTGAAAACGTTTTGTTGTGAATAAATTAAAATTTCTCTAGATTTGGTCATTTTGTGAATACTATACCAAGTGACACTATTTTTGAGGATGTATGTACTACTTTTGCCTCCTTTTTATTTTGCAGTTCTTGGAAAGCTATGTCCTTACCTAGCATTTGTCTTGGGCTTTGGATATCCAGCTAGGAGTTATTTTAAGGCTTGGTTACTCTTAGTAATTATTTTAAGGCTTGGTTACTCTACAAGGGAAAGAGGAACTGAAAAAGTTCATGTTAGTATCTGACAAAGCAAAGTCATCTAACACGGACCAAATGTTTATATATTTTGGAAACTAGGTGAGAGTGCTGCCTTTAAAGTCATCTCAGTGTGTTTTTTTAAAAAAAAATATATTTTATTGATTTTTTACAGAGAGGAAGGGAGAGAGATAGAGAGTTAGAAACATCGATGAGAGAGAAACATCAGCTGCCTCCTGCACACCTCCCACTGGGGATGTGCCCGCAACCCAGGTATATGCCCTTGACCGGAATCGAACCTGGGACCTTTCAGTCCGCAGGCCGATGCTCTATCCACTGAGCCAAACCGGTTTCGGCTCATCTCAGTTTTGATGTGTCAAAAAAAGGCAGAGGGAACACACACACACACACACACACACACACACACACACACACACACACGGCAGTGGAAGTCAGTCATCTTTAACCACATGGGCACAAAACATTTACCCAAAGGTTTCAGTCTCACAGTTTCTTATGGCAACAGCTGAAGAGGGTGCCACAGGCAGAGCACCATCATGTCTGTTGGAGCCAATCCCTCTTCCTCTTCCGAGACCCCCCTCTTCACTGATGTGCTGATGACGTCAACAAACAACCACTAGGGCTGCCAGCCAGGCAGGGGCTCAGCTGACTAGTCTATTTGTGGATGTTGTACACAAACTGATACGCAATGGGAATTACTGTGAATGACCACGTTATCTCCTACTTTGCATATGGCAACTGACAGGCCAGGGTACGTCAGTGGGATGGTATGTCCAGGACACCTGCCAAATTAGTACAGCTTGTGTAACTGGGCTGTTCACCCGGAGTTTGATGAGAAAAGGATTTGGGGCCCTTTCTCCTTAAATATCAGAAGATGCAATAACAGACTGACCTTCAGACTTTCATGGAGCTGCAGGGCTTCCTGGGCTCCCACCCAGTTCCTGGCCAGAAGCAGCTCTTGGGCACATCTGAGAGCCAGGGAAGCAGACAACTCATCCTCTCCCACGATGGAAGCCACCTCTGCGGCCGTTTTAAGCGATGCTGCATCCCCCTTTTTGGCCAAAACTTTGGCTGCATCATAAGCGGAAGCGGCCCCTAAATAGCTATAACACAAAACAAAACGCAAAGTGTCATAAACAGATCTCCTATTCCTCTCAGAGGGTCAAATCATTTCTGTGGGCTTTTCCTTGCCCCTGTGCCTTCCTGTGGTCCTAGGTAGCCACTGTCGCTGGCTCTCAGCTGAGTCCAGCCAGCAGAGGAGATACAGCATTATATGGGTCAAGGACATAAAAGAATCTCAATACTTGCTGAATTGAACCCAAGCAAAGGAGTCATTCTCTCCCATTTTTCTTATTTGATGGTGCAAGATGTCCCTAAAAGAGATTTCTTACTGCTACTGGGGTTTCTTGAATAGTTATGGTGATATACATACCTACCAAGGAGGTAGATCTTGATGCGTCTTACCAAGCTGGTTTAATACACATATGCTTTTTTGTTTTCTAGACACTTGACCTCCACCTCTAAGCTGATCACTCTCAGTCTGCTCTTCTAGGTCTGGTGCACTCCTGTCTCCCCCAGACTTACCATTTAGCAGCTACAGCATAATGACCGTCTTTTTCAAGGATGGCTCCCCAGCTGAGGTACAGGTCCTTCAGGATCGGGTCCTCAGGGCGCAGTCGGGCCTTGGCAACTGCAATAGCCTCCCTAGAGGCAAGAACAGATAATTAGCCAATCTGAAAAGAAAAGGCTTCTAGGTGAGGGGCCCCTAGGAGGGGCTGCAAGATAGGACAAACCATCCCCTTTGTGGTGTTCCTACTTCTTATAAAAAACGAAGTTCCTGCATACACAGGAAGCTAAGACCACATGCTGCACTCAATTCTTCTCCCAGGTCAGCAGATTCCTGGGGTCCCCAAGGCCCTTTCGGGTGGATGGTCTGCCTGTGGAGTGGCCTTACTCTCTGTCTCACTGCTTGCTTCACTAACAAACTCACTTTTATTCTAAACTCTAAAAAACAAACAAAACTCCACCTGTTTTAACAATGATGCTTAGAGGTTATTTGCCTTTTCTCGCTGTGTTGACATTTGCACTGATTGTGCAAGAGCAATGGAGGATAACTGCTGGCATCTGAGCAAGAATCAAGGTAGTGACCCTTGTGGTTTAAAAAGAGAAAGGTCCATGTCCTTGATGAAGCAGGAAAAATGAGTTAGAAGAGATGAAACAACTGGAACTTAAGGGGAAGGAAGAAGCTGTCCAGAGAAAGAGCTCCAGAACTTCCCTTAGGGATCCTATTGAGTCTTTGGCTAAACCCAAAGCCATGCATGTGTGGGAACCTCCTTAAGGCAGGACAAAGAACAGTCAGGGAATAAATCCCTGAGCTTACTCAGGGCTTGGGGACTTTTGAGTTTTGACCAGCCAGACATGAAAGTTCTGATTTACTGAACATATGAGGCATTCAGTAAAGACACCAGAAGGTAGGAGGACAAACTAATTCCAGAGTATGGATTTCTTTAACCTGTCCTAAGAAAAGCTTCAAAACAAGCCATGAAAAGATCAAGCTGATCCGCAAGCAACTTTACTGCTTGCCAAAACAGAGTTCAACACTCTTAAAGCAGTGATGGCGAACCTTTTGAGCTCGGCGTGTCAGCATTTTGAAAAACCCTAACTTAACTCTGGTGCCGTGTCACATATAGAAATTTTTTGATATTTGCAACCATAGTAAAACAAAGACTTATATTTTTGATATTTATTTTATATATTTAAATGCCATTTAACAAAGAAAAATCAAACAAAAAAATGAGTTCGAATGTCACCTGACACGCGTGTCATAGGTTTGCCATCACTGCTCTAAAGGAAGAAAAACAAAGAGGATAAACAGACGTCTCACCAAAGCCATCATATCAAATGGCTAAAAATCAGTGATGGAGAAAGTACTGAAAATAGAGAAAAAATACATAGTTCCTATATAACAAAGATAAGGGGAGGATGAAGAGGGCAAAATGGGTCAAATATATGGTAATGCAAGAAACTTGAGTACACAATGGATGTGGTATTTGAAGTTGTATAGTTGAAATTTATATAATGTTATTTATCAGTTACCTCAGTAAATAAAAAAAAAGAATAAATGCAGAAGAGTCATGTCAAAAACAATGCAAGCCAAGAGAAAGACAACTTTTGAAGTACTGAAAGACAGAAGCAGTGGATGGAATCTGTCACCAGCAGAACCACACGACAGAAAAAAGGTGAAGTTCTTTAGGTAAAGAAGGAATTGACAGCAACTGGAAACTCAGATCTACATAAAAGGATGAAAAGTGCTGGAAATAAGTATGTGGGTAAATGTAAACAAATGTTTAAAAATGATTAAAAAACGTTTCAACAGTAGAAAGAGTAGGAGGAAGGAAAGAAATATGGTACTTGTAAGAAGTGGTATATTATTTAAAGGTAAACTATCATAAATTAAAAATGCTCATCCTAAACCCTTGGGTAATCATTAAAAAACAACAAAGGAATCCTATTAATAAAAGCCTATGTGGCAGTGACGGCCTCACGCCATAACAAGCGATCACCAGGCGGCTGTGTGCTCAGTGGGTGTGCGCGGGTGGGCGGGGCTTGATGCTGCGAGCACTGGTGTGGAGGCAGGTCCTATGGCTCCGTGTGGTGAAGCCATGTGTCCCGTGGCTCCAGCCTACCTCTTTGGGGCAATCCATCGAGGAGCCCCAGGTGGGTGGGCGGGGCCTACCTCTTTGGGGCGATTGATCACGGGGCTCCCACATTGTGAGAGGGTGCAGGCCAGGCTGGGGGACCCCCCTCCCGATAGTGCACAAATTTCATGCACTGGGGCTCTAGAATAACTAATAAGCCAGTATCCTATATAATAAAAGCCTAATATGCTAAGTGTCCAGTCATCCATTCAACCAATGAAAGTGTAATATGCTAATTATATACTAAGGCTGCTCAACTGTTCGCTATGACATGCACTGACCACCAGGGGACAGTCAACTGATCGACCAGTCACTATGATGTGCACTCACCACCAGGGGCAGATGCTCTGACTGGTAGGTTAGCCTGCTGCTGGGGTCCAGCTGAGCAGGACTTAGTGAGAGGCCGGACACGCCCTGGAGCCCTCCCTCGGTCCCTACCCAGCTGGCAAACCTCCCGCGTCCCTCCACAGCCATGATCGTGCACCGGTGGGGTCCCTCGGCCTGGCCTGCGCCCTCTCTCAATCTGTGACCCCTCAGGGGATGTCGAAGAGCCGGTTTCGGCCCAATCCCACAGGCCAGGCCGAGGGACGCCCCCACACTGGTGCACGAATTCATGTACTGGGCCCCTAGTTAGGGATAAAAACAAACAAACAATATTCAGTTGATCAAAAAAAAAAAAAAAAGCAGGAGAAAATGAAGAAATAACAGACAGCACAAATAGCAGGTTGGTAGATTTAAATCAATCATACCAATACTTACATTAAATGTAAATGGCTAAACATTCCAATTTAAGGAAGAGACTATCTGATTTGATAAAAAAACAAGATCCAACTATATGCTGTCTATAAGAAAGATTTTGCTCTTTTTGTTTGCTGGCACTTATATATGTAGTCTTGCGCCCCATTATGATGTTTTAGTCAATGATGGACTGCATATATGATGGTGGTCCCATAAGGACTATGATTGCCTAGTGACACTATAGCCATTATAGTCACAGTGCAATGCATTACTCACGTTTGTGGTGATGCTGGTGTAAACAAACCTGCACTGCCAGTTGTTTAAAGTATAGCACATACAATCACTGCAGTACATAATACTTGATAATGATAACAAATGGCTGTTACTGGTTTATGTATTTACTGTACTTTTTATTATTACTTTAGTGTACTCTTTCTACTTATAAAAAAGTTTGCTGTAAAATGGTATGCCACGTTATACTTGCAGAGGCCTCATACATCTGGTGCTTACCTCGTCTCTTGATTACACTATTTTCTGTGCTTGTGCTTGATTTAATCTCATGTTTTGTATAGTAATGTGCTATACAGGTTTGTAGCCTAGGCTATACCATATAGCCTAGTAGATGTGTAGTAGTCTATACCATCTAGGTTTGTGTACATGAACTTGATGTTCACAAAATGATGAAATTGCCTAATGACGCATGAATGTCTCCCCTGTTGTTAAGCAGCATGAAACTGGTTACTTCTAGAGAAGGGATGAGGACAGAATTGGGGAAGAGCAATTCAACTAAATCTTAAATATTATACTTAAAAAACAACAACAACTGGGGCATATGGAGAGCTTTTGGGGTGTCTGGGAGATTCCGTCTCTTCATATATGGAGCTAAAGAAGGGAGTTCCTCTTTTAATAATCCGTTAAGCTGTTCATTTGTCTTACGCTGTCTTCTCTATTTGTGTTAAGTAACAAAGTAAAGAAGCTTACAAAAGTAAAGTTTAAAAAGATCAGTGGCGTATAATGGTAAAAGTTAACATTTGTTAAGTATAGGTGGTAGGTGCATTGATGTTTGTTAAGCTGGTATACATATATTTCTGTATGTTTCACATGTTTTAATTACTGTAAAGGTTTTATGCTAGAGCTGTTAAGTAGATTAATTTCACGGTATGTCCAACTATTAGTTCAACTGTAGGATTATACAGACCTGTAGAAATGGTGTGACTTGAGCAGCTCCACAGCTTCATACACTTTGTGAATAGAAAGTAGGTGAGAGGCAGCCTTGACATACTGTTCCTGAAAACACAACTGTTTGGCAAAAGCTTCTACAGCCCACAGCCACACATGGTAGCCAGCTTTAAAAAAAAAAAAAAAAAGTGGTTAAATAAGAAGCAAGTTTAAGGAAAAGCATGTACATATGGGTTGAAAATGCCTTTTGTTACTGTATTAAGTAGAAAATTTAGGTAATTCAATCGCCACTATAGATCATTTGCTTCACCTACTCCTCCCCACACCCACATAAATTGTTTCTTTGATTATATAATAACACAAAACTAAAAAGGTACCAAAAGTATGGAAGTCAGGGTAGTGGTTACTCTTGTTGGCGTGTGGATGCTGATGGAAATAGAGCATGAGAGAAGGGTACAAGTAATGTTATGTTTCTTGATATGGGTGCTGGTTACAAGGGTGTATTCAGCTTGTGAAATCCATGATACATTTATGTACACTCTGTGTGTGTGGTGTCCCATCTCTATATATAAAAGCCTAAGTGACCGGCCAACCGGCTGGTAGCTATGGTGAGCACTGACCACAAGGGGGCAGACACTCAATGTAAATGTAGGAGCTGCCCAGTGACAACTTTGCAGAGTGCCCTCTCGCACTCCGGGAGCCCAATCCCTGCAGGCCAGGCCAAGGAACTCCACCGGTGCATGAATCCGTGCACTGGGCCTCTAGTATTGAATCCGTGCACTGGGCCTCTAGTATTGAATAAAAAGCTAAAAAGCTGGGCATGGCATAAAAGGTTTCCTTGTTATCCTAGCATCTTCCCATCTATATCGTCCAATCCTTTCCTCAGAGATAACCATTATTACTAGTTTCTTTTGAAAACTTTGGAAATATAGTCTATGAATACACAACGACACATGTGTAAATATAAATGACAGAGTATTAAATATTCTTTTGTGCATCTACACCTTGCTTTTCACTTACTATACTCTGGAGTTCTGTTCCATATTAGAATGCACAGAGCTGCCTCATTCTTTTGGTATCTGTAGGAGTTTCTATTGTACAGATGTAACCAGTCTCTCTGATGGACACAGAAGTTGTTGCGATCTTTTGCTATTACAAATAATGCTGCAACAATAGTCCATGAATATTTATCATGTTGTACGTGTGCATACAGTTCAATTCCTACAATTAGAACGGCTGAGTCAAGGGGGATGTGCATTTTAAATTTATTAGAAATGGCCAAATTATCCTTCAAGACACTACCCATCTGTAGTGGGCATCCTAGAGAGGATAGAGCGTTAGTTGTAAAGAACATACCCACGGGCGCCATAGCCACGAGATTGTCTGTCAGCTCCCCTCTGTCTGCTGCAGTCTGGAGAACACCTTTTAGGTCTCCTTTCCAAAGCATAAGCTGGTGATATAACTCAGGGTGGCCATTTTCCAAGTGACCCTTTCCTATATGGAAGAGAGATAATGTTTAGAAGCTGTTTCAGAAACTCTGTCTACACTAACTTCTACAAAAAGAAAGGCAGGATAAAGGAGCAACAAACGCCTAGAATACGCAGTCACTCGCTGATGGGGAAGTCACCTCCCAGAGCGTTCACTCAGTCACTGGTCCGCCCATTCACTGTTACTCAGTCACTCAGAGTGAGCACTGTATGTTATGTTTAGGGTCTTATGACAGAAGCAAGGGATCTGTAAGTATGCAAACTGGGGAGCTCAAAACCTAGTTAGTTGGCATGTAAAACCAACCATGACAAGGCCCCAGGATGGTAGCCATAAAAGAGGTGTGTGCAAAGCATTAGGGAATCATAAAGCTGGAGGGGACTGTGTTGACTGAATGTGCCTCACCTTCAACCTCCATCATTCTGTACAGGGTAGCCCTGTCTGTGAACAGCCCCAGGTGAAATCTTTCCTCAAGATCGGCAGACACGTCCTCATTTAGCTCTGCTAATTCAAAAGACAAAACAAAATCAGATGAAGTGATTACACAGGGTACTGTTTTCTGCCTAAATACTTCCGAATGTTATGCCCAGACCCTGAGAGAGTCCTATGTCCTTGTTTACCCTAACAGAGACAAAGGTAGCAAAATAGGAAAATATATACAGTGTGTGAAATTCAGCTTGGGCCAATCCAATAAGACAATTTAGTTTATAGATTGCTCAAAGAAAGATTGGGGGAGGGTGGGAAGTAATGTAAAAAGCCAACCCAAAATATCACATGTAATGCAGTAAAAACAAAAAAACTGTCAAGTGAAGAAATGCCCTTAATGATCACCAGGATCTACCACAAAGGAATTCGGAATTCATTCTGTTTTTAAAGAAGTCAACTGAGTAATTTCCCAATAAGGGAAATAATATAAAACTATATGGTTAAGCCCTAGCTGGTTTGGTTTAGTGGACAGAGCATTTGTCCCAGGTTTGATTCCAGTCAAGGGTACATGCCCGGGTTGCGAGCTCAATCCCCAGTAGGGGACGTGCAGGAGGCAGCCGATCAATGATTCTCTCTCATCATTGATGTTTCAATCTCTCTCTCCCTCTCCCTTCCTCTCTGAAATCAATAAAAATATATTTAAAACAATCAAAATAAAACAAACTATATGGTTAATTGTGTAAGTTATAAGAAATCATCATAAAGTCCCAAAATGGGGGCTATGTATATAATAAGAGCATAAAATATCTCTACAGGGAGACAAAATGATAGTAATGTGGAATTGGGGAGAAATGGAGGAGTGGGTGTTAGAGGTGGGAGACATATTTACTTTCTATTTATACTGTGCATTCCTTTTTAACATGTAAAATTAAAAATTAAAAATATACAACTGCTGCAATATCAAAATAAAAGACATTAGATGAGGCTTTGGAAAATTAAAACCAAAAACTACTTTGTAAAAAACTTCCATTAATTTTTCTTAAAGGAACTGCCATGTTGTGATATTTCCAATAAGCAAATAATTTTGTTTCTATATGAAGATGCTGTTCATTCATGCTGTGATATTTAAGCCATCATACCAATTCTAGCACAGAGATGGCTGGTAACAATCCTATATAATAAAAGGCTAATATGCAAATCGACTGAACGGCGGAATGACTGGTCACTACGACGCACACTGACCACCAGGGGGCAGGCGCTCAATGCAGGAGCTGTCCCCTGGTGGTCAGTGCGCTCCCACAGGGGGAGTGCCGCTCAGCCACAAGCCGGGCTCACAGTTGGTGAGCGCAGAGGCGGTGGCGGGAGCCTCTCCCACCTCCACGGCAGCACTAAGGATGTCTGACTGTGGACAAGAAGCAGGCCTAAGCTGTCAGTTGGACATCCCCCGAGGGCTCCTGGACTGCGAGAGGGCGTAGGCCAAGGTGACGGATCCCCCCCCTTCCCCCAGTGCATGAAATTCATGCACTGGGCCTCTAGTTTGACTTATAATAAAAGCAGAGCACTGGGGAGTGTTGACAGTGGTTAGGATTAGGGTTAGGGTCAGGGTCAGGAAAGGGAACTTGGCAATGGGGTGTGGGGGAGGGAAGAATGGAAAAGAATGTAGAAATACACACAATTTTGGATATTTGTTTACACATTCATTCAACAAATAAATAAGTGTATTTTTGTACCTTTGAAGTGTTTTGCAGTTGCTAGTACCAAACAGTCCTGATGAAGCTCCTCTTTGGACCTGTGGTCCAGGCTTGTGCTCAGTGGAAGCATGGAACGGGCTTTTCGCTTCTTGATTACTAAGGCTTCTGAAAGGTAACAGAAGTACAGGCTGTCTGAAGAACAGCAGATCAGAAACACCAACTGAATGCCCAGTTGTGTGAATGTAACCTACTGGAGGATACCGCTGGGCAAAGAAAGTCCCTACTATTATAAAGAAGCTTTCAAATTACATTAGCTCGAGGCAATGTTCACAGCACACAAACATGACCCTGTGAACATGTGTGAAGCAGTATCAACTGCAAAACGACACTTCATCAAGTACTAAAAATGTTCTAGAAAGTATGATCCTTCCTGGCTGGTGTGGCTCAGTTAGTTGGAGCGTCATCCCATGCACCAAAAGGTGGTTGGGTTCAATTCCCAGTCACTGCTTGCGGAAGGGGGGCATGATCGATGTTTCTCTCTCTCTCTCTCTCTCTCTCTCTCTCTCTCTCAAATCAATAATCAATAAGCATGACTCAAGATTGAGATATAATCAAAACACAAGTGTTTAAAACTTAAAAGCAACAACTAAAACCCCACACTTCTGAGTTTTCAGTTGCATGGGACATTTGATTGAGGATGCTTTAACAAAGTATTTTAATTAGTAAATACCAACCTGGCTTGTCTTTAGGTGGTTCCTTTTTCAGTGAAGTGACTTTATTATTAACGATGACTTTTGGCTTTTCCAAGCCTAAGGAAAGTGGAGGGCATATAACTGGTTCTCTAGAAACTACATCAAGAAAAAAAGTTTGGATGAGAACAATGCAGAATCCAGTTCTTTTTGAAAATTAAGAATTATACCAGACTTAACAGTGCATTTTATCTATTACCCAAAATGTGAGATCAAATACTTTGCAAAGGCAGCATGGGTGGTTTCGCTTTCTCAGCTCACACACTGTGTTCCGGAATTTTCTAAGTTTATTGCTTCTAACTTTGACTAATTAATCTAAGGAAAAGTTACAAGCTTCTAGCTTCCACAACTTTACACCATAGGCTCAAAAGTTCCCAAACTTTGCTCAGGTGACAAAGGATATTACATATTTAGATAACAAAGTACTAATTGCATATTTAATTACACAAATAAGGAACAACTTTACTAACAGAAAAGATTCATGTATGTGATATGGAGTCACAATCCTGAGCCTACCACAACCATGAACTTAAAACAAAACAAGCTGCTGATCTACAGGGGTAAAGGATGTTTTTCATGCAGTCATTTTGTAATAAAAAGGTATTTTGATGAACCTAAAAAATAAATCCATTACACTTTTAGTTCTTTATTTACCCAAACCACAGGTCCAACAGCCTTGGGATGGAGAGGGTCAGGGATGACTTTGTACCATATATTTTAGCCACTTTAATGCTTTCACATCAAAATACTGTTTTAGAGTTAAACACGATTCACAGCTTCTATTTATATTGTTTGCTATTTAGTCATTCATTTCAACAGGTAACAGCCTCCAGAATTTGAAGGTAAATATATAAAAGAATTAAAGGGTTAAAATTATATCCCTTGACCTTTCTTCCCATCAATATCTGTGGAAGACTGCTTTATTAGAAATTAGTGATGGAGCCCAGAAAAGCAGTTTTGTAAGAAATCTGAGTGCTGTCACTATAGTTTAACAGACTGAAAGAACATCATCATCATTCATAAATTTTTTTAGGAAAACACCACCAGGTGGAAACAAGTAGGAAGAGCGAAAGCTTGCAAGTTCCCAGAGCGGTGGTAGCTTCTAGGTCAGACATTTGTATCCGACAGTGGTTTCTTTCAATACATGTGGATGACGATGTCAGCTGTCAGAACTGTTCCCATGTAAATACTCCCTGGCTCTACTTTGTCCCACAGGCTTACCTGCCCAAGCTGGGGAGAAGTTTCTCTACAGAACTTTGCTATTTCCACCCCAATCATCCACTAAATCCCCTCTAAAACTTCAAAGGTGTTTAGAGGCTTAAAGATGCCCTTTGATAAACCTAACGTAATTTCCAAAAGCACCAAAAATACCACCCAGGTTAAGGAGTTGGGAAACCAGGTAGGTCAGAGGCAGAGAAGTTTCTGGTCACGACTCTGGTCCTAGAGAGTGGGTGACATGGGACTCGGGCACATACCTACGGAGGCGACACCACAGGGTAACTCTGGCTCTCGGGCTTCCTCTTCTCCCTCCTGGTCGGACACGCTGCCATTCTCAACAGGCCCCGCACTCTCCCTGACGCTCTCTTCTTCATTCCCATCGTACAGCTCCTGCTTGACAGACACTCGCGAGGTGAGCTTTTTCTTCTTCTTGGGCTTTGGCTTAGGTTGAGAGAGCCTTTTTTTCTCTAATTCAATACTTTTCTTGCCTAGAGGAATAGCAAAAAAAGAAAAAATATATATATATATTTATTGCTGGTTAAAAGCACCCTCGGAGATCATCTCCAGACCCTCATTACCCTTTTTGGATAGCATTCTTACCCTCCCCCTTCCTCCACAATGAATGTTTAGTTACATTATCCAAATGTTAACCAAACCCTTCTGGGATGTCATTAAATCAGAAATACTACGGTCAGTTAACCCTGAATACTTCAGTGTGTGTATCCCCCAACCGTGGACATTCTCCTCCATCATCACAGCACAACCATTCAAATCAGGAAATTAACACTGACACGCTCCTACTGTCTACTCCACACATTTCAGTCAGGTTTCACTAGTTTTACCAAGCATGGCTCTTACAGCAAAAGGCATCCACACTGTACTTGCTTGTTATGGCTCTAGTTTTCTTAAGCTTGGAACAGGCTCGGATTTCTTCTGACTTCAAACGTTTTTTTAAAGGGCTTTTTATTTTTTTAAATATATTTTTATTGATTTCAGAGAGGAAGAGAGAGGGAGAGATAGAAACATCAATAATGAGAATCATTGATCAGCTACCTCCGTAACACCCCCTACTGGGGATTGAGCCCAGAACCTGGGCACGTGCCCTGACTGAATTGAAACATGACCTCCAGTATTTAGAAATCAAGACCTGGGTGCCAGGAATACTTGTACTACTTGGGCGCTGTCCTCAGGCTCCCCAGGGCTGCCTTCCTTGCATAGGCTCCAACGCCCTGCCACACGGTTGCAGCTGCCCTGTGTGAATGTCTTCCTCGCTTGCCCCCGATCAACTCAGTTACTGAGAAAGGGAGACAGGGAAGAAGGCAAGCATTTCTGGGCTCCAAGCTCTGACTGACCTTGGGGAGGCCGGGAATGTTCTTGCATGGAAGCGAGCCATTTGTACACACAGAAGTCATCTGCTCCTGAGTAGATGCAGTCTGGATCCAAGGGGGACCACGCCACGCAAAGCAGCCGACCTCGATGTCCTCGGAAATTGCATAGAGGCTCTTCCTGGAGGGCATCCCACACCTAAAGCCAAAAATCACATAACAGAATAGGCAATTTCTGGTTATTCTATTATTCTGGGGGATAAGAAAAATAATACTTTAAAGATCTGTGCACACTTATTTCCTCTTGTGATTTGTAATTTCTTCTTAAGAGTTCAATTTCAGAGAGTGCTATTTCCTGTGGGGGTGATTTTGAGCAAGCTTCTAACGGTGGCCTACGGATTTCACCATCCCGGAGTAGTACTGTATATCTATCTATATAAAACCCTAATATGCAAATCGACCGAATGGCAGAATGACCAGTTGCTATGACATGCACTGAGCACCAGGGGGCAGACGCTCAGTGCAGAAGCTGCCCCCAGCCCGCAGCCCCTGACTGTGTCGCAAGCGGCAGTGCCAGGCCAGCCAAGGCGGGTGCGAGCGGGGGCCCCCGATTACCCTGTCAGCCACCCCACAGATGGGCCCTGGGTCTAGGGACCCTACCCATGCATGAATTTCATGCACCAGGCCTCTAGTTATAAAGAGAATTCTAACTCAACCTACCCTGCACGTGTGTGCATACTTGGGGTTCTAACTTCTCACAGGTGATTCTTTTGTCCCCAAGTACCTGGGCAACTGAAGCAGTGTCCTACCTGCTTCTTTCTTTAAAAATTTATTTCAGAGAGGAAGGAAGTGGGAGAGAGAAACAGACACATCAATGATGACAGAGAATCATTGACTGGCTGCCTTCTGCACACCCCCTACTGTCTCATGAGATAGACATCCACCACAGATACTGCCCTCCAGTTCCCAAGGTCTGTTTTGGTTCTGATACCTGAAACTCCTACCTCATAGTTCAGGCTTGGCAGCTCATCTTTACTTTTTAGAACTTGGAGATTTCTGACTTACCATTTTATTATTAAAAATTGTTTTTCACATCAATTTATAAGTCCATCATACTGACAGTGATAAGTTAGAATGAAATCTTAAAATCAGAATTTAGCTAGTTTCTATTAATACTTTCCTTTTCATCTAAGTAAAAAACAACAACCCAATCATAGCCCGACAAGGGCCGGGAATAAAACTAAGATGCCTCCTAGAACTCAGAAAATCCCTCTCTGTAGAAGGTAACAGTGAGGGAAGGGAAACGCACACAACTGGGGAAAAGAGGAAAGAGTTTACATTAGAGTACCCAGTGAGGAACCCACTCCCAGAGACGCAACAGTACCTGAGCTGTGCCATCATAGGAAGCAGATACCAGCCTTCCATCGTGGTGTGGGCTCCACGCCAGACTGGTAATCTTGGCTGTGTGCCCTGAGAGGGTCCGGTAGGGCTCTGTAATGGTCACTGGAGATTCAGGATTGCTCTCTACAAGGCAAGGGGAAAGGTTGTGAGAATAGGATGCAGTGAAACGTGAATGGGATGTGCGTTGTGTGTAAAGTACTCAAACACTACAGGAAGGTGGTATAAACTGGAACAGTCTTTTTGGAGAGCCACTTGGCAATAACCATTCTTTAAAAAATCTGGAGAAGCCCTGGCCACTATGGTTCAGTGGTTAGAGCGTCAGCCTGAGACTGAAGGGTGGCGGGTTCAATCCTTGGGCCCAGTTGGAAGGCAACCAATCGATGTGTCTCTCACATCGATGTTTCTCTCTTGCGCGCGCTCTCTCTCTCCTCTACCTCCTTCCCTTCCACTCTCTCTAAAAATTAATGGGAAAAATATCCTCCGGTGAGGATTAACAAAACAAAACAAAAAAACTGGAGAAAACACTCAGCAAACTGATAACATGGATTATTATTGAGGGATGATATTACGGGAGGAACTTTATTTTCTTAGTTACCATATATGTCATATTTGAAATTTTTCTTATTTTAAATAAGATGAATATATTACTTTTGCAAACAGAAAAAAATAAGAATAACATTTATTTTAATAGTAAAAAGGTATAGAGACTGGAATGGAAAGTAGCTGAACAGAGGATCGCACCCCCAGTATAGAAGAAACCAGTTACCTATGACAGCCTTCAGGTTGTGCACATAAATGACGGCATTGTTGGACCCGGAGGCCATCAGATAGCTCAGCTCTGGCTGGCTGCTATGCTCATGATGCCAGCTGATGGTATTCACGAGCTTGTGATGCTGCTGGATGGTGCAGATCAGTTTCAAGTTGGGAACCTGAAATATTTCTATTGATCTGAAATAAGAAACACATCAAGACATGGAGATGGATAATAAGTTTACAGTTAACGCAAACAGGCATCTCCTTCACTCCCTCAGTCAAGGAAAGGTGAAGTGGAATAGGATAACCCTATCTATCACTCTCTTAGAACCAGGGGCAAAAGGTTGTCTCTCAAACAAGTATTTCAGCTTTAAAAAAAATCCCCAAACTCTCTGAAAAGTGTTTATCAGGCTCTTGTAATAGACAGTGCTAGAGAGAAGCTAAAAGAAGAAGGAATGAACCAATGGCTGAATTAGGATTATGTTACTCTGAACAACATGGAAAGGGCACGGTGAGACCTAAAGAGGACTTACGCCTGGGCTTCATTTTAAAAAATGAAGGGGAATTTAGGCAGTTCAGTGCAGGAGATGAGCGTTTTGTAAAGCATCAAACAGTCAAACACTGAGTAGGCAAACACTCCTTGGAATAAAAATATCCAACTTATTTTGTAATTTTCAAAGATGCAGAGAGCTCCTGGATCATTCACAGACATCAAGGATATCAAATACAACTGGGCTTCCCCAGCTAACATTACAGGTGGCATCAGCCAGCTTGCAATCAAATATATGTGCAGTTACAAAGTGGTGTTTTTTTTTAAAGAAACAAACACATACCCGTCTTCATTGCCAAGAGCCATGATTTTGCCATCTGCTTTCCAGCTGATCTCTGTGTGTACAGGCAGTTTGTACTAGAAAGCAAAATAAACCAATCTTGACTAAAAACATTGTTCCTCTCTGCATATAGCTTATAAACCAATGATGACAGCACTAGAGAAAAAATCCCTAGAGTTTAAAAATCTTCTAATTATACAATAGCCATTCTTATAAATAATCTATATAATAACCAAAGAATTACTAAGAGCAAATGTTCTGATTATAATTTCTTTTTTTAAAGATATATTTTTATTGATTTCAGAGAGGAAGGGAGAGGGAGAGAGAGAGAGAAACATCAATGATGAGAGAGAATCATTGATTGGCTACCTCCTGCACGTCCTTCCACTGGGGATCAAGCCTGCAACCCGGGCATGTGCCCTTGACTGGAATGGAACCTGGGACCCTTCAGTCCACAGGCCGACTCTCTATCCACTGAGCCAAACCAGCTAGGGCTAATTATAATCTTAGTTGGGACAAAAAGAGGCCAGTAAATACTAAATGTCTACAATGTCTAACCTTGTGAAATGAGCTTCATTAAAAACAATTTTATCCCACAATGAAGAATGAAACATATCTGCTGGCTTGGACGACATAGGGGTCATGGTCTCCTTAACAAAAACCATACACCCTGCCCTTGCTTTCTTCTATCCCTTTAGTTTCTTTTCATGTTGGTCACCAAGGCTGCTGGGTCCTCTTCTTGTCTCTTTAGACCAACTCATACATGCCCACAGCTGCTTTTTTTTTCTTTTTAAGCATGTTTTTATGAATTTTTAAAAAATATATTTTATTTATTTTTTATAGAGAGGAAGGGAGAGGGATAGAGAGTTAGAAACATCGATGAGAGAGAAACATCTATCAGCTGTCTCCTGCACACCTCCTACTGGGGATGTGCCTGCAACCAAGGTACATGCCCCTGACTGGAATCGAATCCGGGACCCTTCAGTCCGTAGGGCGACGTCCTATCCACTGAGCCAAACCCATCAGGGCTTTATGAATTTTTTAGAAGGGAGAGGGACAGAGAGATAGAAACATTGATGAAAAAGGAACATTATCAATCCGCTGCCTCCCACACGCCCCCTACTGGGGATCAAGCCCACAACCCGGGCATGTGCCCTGACTTCGAAGTGAACCAATGACCTCAACCACTGAGCCACACGGGCCAGGCACCCACAGCTTTTTTAGCTATCATAAAGGGATTCTAAATTTCCATTTGCAGCCCAAACTCCTTGTATGAGTTTCTGATCCATACATTCAGCTGCTACAAAACCCAAAGCTCACTGGGAACAGGGATCTGGTCTCTATAATCATTGTTGAATCTTAATGTGCAGATAATATACAGAAGACAGTGGAGGAATGTAGTCAATAAAAATAATTCAGTTTATGATTAAATGTTATTTTTATGCTAGCCATACAAGAACAATGAGCAACAATAAAAAATGCTCATTTGAAAGAATAAGGAAATCTCAGCATTTAAGATTTCACTTCAAAAGATAGTTCTGGCACAGACATACTGATGAGATAGAAAGCAAATGTGATTAAATGCAGGAATCTGGGTCAAAGATAACAGGGAATTACTTTTGCAGCTTTTTAATAAATCTATAATTACTTCATTAAAAAATTAAAAACAAATGATGATTCTATCTTGAGCAAAATACCCCGCAGCCACACGTGGATGCCGTCTTACCAAGTTATTTTACCAAAGCCTCACTCTGGATGAACTGGCTGGCTGGACAAGAATGCTCTATATCCAAGAACTGAAAGTTTACAATAAATCACCAATGCAACTGAGATAAAACATTTTGCTGTTAAGTTCCTTGCTTTACTCAAGGATAAAGAATTCTAAGATATGTGTGATAACTTATTAATTCACTGAGTTTTTTTTTTTTTTTTTAAATATATTTTATTGATTTTTTACAGAGAGGAAGGGGGAGGGATAGAGAGTTAGAAACATCGATGAGAGAGAATCATCGACCAGCTGCCTCCTGCACATCTCCCACTGGGGGTGTGCCCGCAACCAACATACATGCCCTTGACCGGAATCGAACCCGGGACCCCTCAGTCCGCAGGTCGACGCTCCATCCACTGAGCCAAACCGGTTTCGGCAATTCACTGAGTTTTTAAAGAACATCTAAGAAGTCTGAGCATAACAGATATCTCTAATAATGGCATTTATTATGTAAGATGGAAAATCAAGATACAGAGATCAAGAGAAGACTTTAAACCACAAGAACTTACTTTGATTGAATTGGTGTCTCTGATGAGTTTGTTGATGTCAAAAGCCTCTCCATTAAGCTTCCAGGGGTTATGCTGTAAGACAAGCCCCTCCCCTCCACAGCTGTATAAAGTAAGGGAAGGTCTGTCTCCTTCTCCTCCTACATGAGACAAGAAAGCTTAGCAGTTTTGCATTCCACCAGCCAAAGCACCACCATACCATACTATCAATTGTTTTAATACACTGTAATAAAGCCACAGTTCTTTGCATCTGAACCTAGTTGGTGGGAGTAAAAGTAACAACGGTATACTAATAATTCTACATTAATATCTATAATGTAACATATTTGTTTTAAGCATTCTTCTGACATTCAAAATAGTATGGGGTGCCAAAGCTGGAATCAGAAAATATGTTCTCAAAGTTTTTGAATTTTTATATTTTCTTTCAGAAATAAGTACTCTACTCTTTGGGCATTTAAATATATGGAGCTGCAGGAATGTCTATGACTAACTATAAGGAGCAAACTTCCTTAGTGTTACAGCAATCCTCTTGTTGATTTTTAAGAAGCAAACAGTAGTTGTGATGGCTTTCTGTAAGGGCAAGTTTTACTCTCACCACTGTTAGAACTCTGCCTGACACGAATCAAGGAAAGTGAATGAATGAAAGATGATTGCAATGCTGTTTGAGTTCTGATGGTTTACACCATCCTCTCTATGTAATGCAGTTACTATGGAAATTTACAGATGTTTCATTATAGAAGAGTAAGAAAACCAAAGATTTTTGCTGAGCACACTCATTTTGAAAGATATTCTGAAGGAACTATCACTTTAGGAATAAGAAAGAGAAAGACAAGGCTGAGGAAAAGCCTAGAAGAGGAAAAGCGTCAGAATACAATGCAAGGCAAAAAGAGGTCACTTGAGAATCTCAGTTTGCTTTAGAGTTTAGGGAGGCTTGTTCTGGGTGAATGGTTTCTGACCTTTCACCCAGCACGTCTGCCCTCACAGACCCCTGGCTACATAGCAGCCAGCATAAGCAGTCACTGCACTGGAATATTTAGGACTCTTGAATATCCGAGGGTTAAACTGTAAGAAAGAGAATACTCTTGCATTTGTAAGAAAATGGCTCCGACACTTACCAAGTGACAGGGAAGGTATTGGTGGCCCCCAGGCTAAACTATACACAGTCTTCTTATGGTATGTGCTGGAAATCTGTGGAGGTCTAAGAGAAGGGGGATTACAAACAGAAAGATTTAAACAAAACGGCACAGTGGAAATAAACACTTTTTCCTTGTAAAAGGTTCCTATTATAAACTTATTTGCTGATATTAGAGAAAAACAATTTAACAGTACCCTTCTCCAAATAGCTGATTTGTAAAGAAGCAAATACTTAAATGACATACCATGTAATGATATCTACTAACAAAATCAGTAAGTCGCAAATACACTTTAAACACAGAAAAAATGTTATCTCCCTCTCCCCACCCAACCCGCTCATCTGGTCAGTTTATAAACATTTTCCCCATCTCTCCCTCTGAGTTGCCTACTTTACTTAAATGTCAAATATGTTAATATTACTGTAGTTATATAGCAGTGTAAAGGCCATCCCAGTGAGAGGCAGATAGGACTAGATAGAAAATGCAAACTGCTTAGCACAGAACTAAAGCTACTGCTAAGCATACACTATCACCATGCAAATGTCTCCACCTCACAGTCCAGTAAAAGACTAAATGTAGTTTTAGGTTTACCCTGTCTTTAATACCACATTCTTAAACTAAGAGAAGGTTTTAGATAGATTTCAAAGTTTTTCATTGTTTCTTTTTTAAAGAAACCTTGGTCTCAAAAGTGTTTCTTACGGTTCCTGTGGTGGTTAATAATATGTGAGGTGTCAGTTAAAGGCAGGGTGGTTATTACCTTCAGTGCATACTAAATTCTTTGTATGACTTTAGAATTCCAAGATTCCGGAACCTATGGCTGAACTAGCTGTTGACTTATTTACTTCCATGTGTCTGACATATTGTTATTATTCTAATAATTCTTTTTTAAAAATATATATATTTTATTGATTTTCTACAGAGAGGAGTGGGGAGGGTCCGGGGGGGAAAGGTCCCCGTGTCCTTCCCCCACCCCCGCTTTCTCTCCCCTACCCCCGGGCGCCAGAGAGGAAGGGAGAGGGATAGAGAGTTAGAAACATTGATGAGAGAGAAACATCGATCAGCTGCCTCCTGCACACCACCTACTGGGGATGTGCCCGCAACCAAGGTACATGCCCTTGACCGGAATCGAACCTGGGACCCTTCAGTCCGCAGGTCGACGCTCTATCCACTGAGCCAAACCGGTTAGGGCACATTGTTATTATTCTAGACAATAAACGAAAATTTCTTTGGCTAAAGGAAACAGAATAGCAGCTCTGGCTGAATGCCTAAGAATAATTTGTCCACAGCAACATCCTTCCCCCTAATCATACCTTTTCTAGTGTTATATAGTTTTATTTTCTTAGATGTTTCTTTGAAATAGTTTTTTTTTTTTTTTAAAAACATTTTTTTAAACATATTTTATTGATTTTTTACAGAGAGGAAGGGAGAGAGATAGAGAGCCAGAAACATCAATGAGAGAGAAACATCGATCAGCTGCCTCCTGCACGCCCCCCACTGGGGACTTGCCGGCAACTAAGGTACATGCCCTTGACCGGAATCGAACCCGGGACCCTTGAGTCCGCAGGCCGACGCTCTATCCACTGAGCCAAACCGGTTCTGGCTGAAATAGTTTTTTGAGAATTAAAAATGGTAGGGAGGGGGAATTGGAGCCCTGGCTGGCGTCGCCCAGTGGTTAGAGCATCGGCCTGCACACCAGAGGGGGTCACAGGTTGGATTCCGCAGGTTCGAGCCCCACCCCCAGTCAGGGTAAGTGCCGGAGGCAGCCAATTGACGTGTCTCTCTCACATCCATGTTTCTCTCTTCTCTCTCTCCCCCCCCTCCCCACTATACTGCCCTCTACCCTCCCACTCTCTCTAAAAAATTAATGGAAAAAATATCCTCGCTCTTTGGGTGAGGAAAAAAAAAAAGGAGAAAAATAGTTAACTACATGTAGATTACACATAAGTACTTAAATAATCGCAAAAAGGTTAGCACCGCAGTATAATAATTCTCACTTGAAGCAAATAATGTACAACAGAGGTAGGCAAACTTATCTTGCAAAGGGCCAGATAGTGAACATTTTAAGGCTTTTTGAGCCATGCTATCTCCGTCACAAGTAGTCCACTCTGCTGTGGTACTATGAAAGCAGCCCCAGACAAGATATAAACAAATGAGGATGGCTGGGTTCCAATAAAACTTAATTTAATTTGCATATGGCTGGACATTAGGTCATACTATAGAACTACTATTTAAAAAATCGAGGGAAAAGGAAATACTTTATATTCCCACAAGTCAGAACCACCATAACCTGAAAATTATTTATTTACTTATTTTTAAAAGCGAGAGAGGAAGGGAAAGGGAGAGAAAGGAGAAACATCGATGTGAGAGAGAAACATCAACTGGTTGCCTCTAGTATACACCCCGACAGGGGACCGAACCAGCAACTTGGGCATGTGCCCTGAGTGGGAATCGCACAGGTGACCTTTTTGTGCACAGGATGATGCTCAACCCACTGAACCACACTGGCCAGAGCTGAAAAAATACATTTTTATTTATTTATTTATTTATTTTTTAAATATATTTTATTGATTTTTTACAGAGAGGAAGAGAGAGAGATAGAGAGTTAGAAACATCGATGAGAGAGAAACATCGATCAGCTGCCTCCTGCACATCTCCTACTGGGGATGTGCCTGCAACCCAAGTACATGCCCTTGACCGGAATCGAACCTGGGACCTTTCAGTCCACAGACCGACGCTCTATCCACTGAGCCAAACCGGTTTCGGCTGAAAAATACATTTTAAAATTAAACCTTGAGTTTTAAGCCTCAGTTTCAGAGCCACACACTCTCACACGCACTCTCTCTCTCTCTTAATATAAAATAGTATATAGTAAAGATTGTTCTTATTATAATGGCAAATTCTGAAAACTGTAACAAATAATAGTCATTGAACAGTCAAACGGTCATATTCCTAATCAGGAAGAAGTTCAGAACCAGACTCCTAAAGATGCTTCCAGGCCAATTTTGATGCATGTCCAGGTTTCTGAACTCAAACTCCATCACTGACATTTTGGTCAATGGCCTAAACAAAGAATCATCTCTTTCTCTTACTTGTTGGAGTAGGTGTCATACAATCCCACTTTTCCGTCATCAGTTCCAAAAGCTAAGCAGCCTTCCTTGGTTGGGTGCCAGCACAGCTACAAAAAAAAAACATGAGGAAAGAGACAGACTGTAATGGGAATTCTCAGATTATCCTTCAGGCATTTAAATGGAAAACTTTCTTGCTCTTGGTGTCTTCTAATTTTACAAATTCTCGTTATTTAAAAGAGAAACAAAGAAGTATTAAAAACAAAGTGAGAGTTACCGGTAATGTCACCCCCAAAACACCCCATTGCCAGTATTGAACTTTTTGGTGAATAATCTTACAATATATGCAATTGAAAAAAACAAAAATAGATTCAAACATATAAATGATGTACATGATACACTGTTGAGTGGGGATAAAAAATGCCAGAACAATTTAGAAAATATGATCCTAATATTAAAATTTTGAAAGACACATCACAAATTGTCAACAGTAGTTCAATGGATTATGGAAATGGGTGAATGGAGTGGAGAAACATTTATTGCTTTTAGACTAAATGGCCACAACAGAGGTCTCACTTTAGAAAAAAACAAAAAAATTTATACATGTGGTTTTATAATGTGCTTTCTGTGTTTTGTCATTTGCATTCTTCGTGAGTCATTACCATCTTTTCACATAAAATAAAGATCTGCATTGTCATTTCTAATAGTTTGATACCATTCCATGTGGTCATAATTAATAATTATCTTCCATGAATGCACATCCAGGTTATTTCTAATTTCTTACTATTATAAAACATGGTAACTTGAACAAAGCTTTAACTTTAAATCCTAAATTTGGAGATAATGGGTTTGTTTGGAGAGAATCCTTCACTTTCCCCAATTGCAAACTCTATTGAAAATACCCTTGAACAACCTGTGATTCTCAACAGAGTTCATTTAAATGAAAAGGTATTCTCTAAAAGAGAATTACTGACTTGAAAATAAGTTCATAGTAAGCTCAAAGACAGCATCCGTACCGCTGTAACCTTGGACTTGACACCCTGCCAAAAATTTTTCACATCATAGTTGTTCTTTATGGAGATTGTATTCCATACACGGATCATGCCATCTCCAACGCCTATGGCCAAACAGCCTGTGTCCACAGGAGAGAAAGCCAGGCTGTAGGCAAAGCCACCGAGGGAAGGCAGGGTCCAGCAGCACTCCAGGGTGGCCATGTCCCAGCATTTTACCTGAAAAGATGAAAAGTTAAGGCCTAAATATAAAAAAGATCAGAGAAACAGGAAAAGGAATCAACATTTCAAATAGGATGGGTTTAGAGAGTAAACAAAGATAGTGTAATTTAACTATTCTAATAGGGATTGGAAAAAGCATGCCTTAGAAAAAACACACCCAAAAACCCAATAATAAATTGTAGAGCTCAGAGGGATCTTAGCATACACTTATTCCCAGAGATGTCAGGTGAGCTCTGAGCCATACAATTAATCAACCAGAACCAGGCCTGCCACTTACAAGGTCAGTGGCCTTCCTACTCTATTGTATTGGCACATCAGTGATTTCCTCATTTGGCACGCCTTAGAAAAAACACCCAAAAAACCAAAATAAATTGTAGAGCTTAGAGGGATCTTAGCATACATTTATTCTCAGAGATGTCACGTGAATTCTGAGCCATACAATTAATAAACCAGAACCAGGCCTGCCACTTACAAGGTCAGTGGCCTTTCTACTCTATTGTATTAGCACATCAGTGATTTCCTCATTTGGCAAACTCTAAGCAATAAAGATGGTCTCAAGATACTGGAAAAAATCAGTGTTATCTCAAAAAGCAAAATATCGCCCTAACCGGTTTGGCTCAGTGGATAGAGCATTGGCCTGTGGACTGTGCCTTGGTTGCGGGCACATCCCCAGTGGGGAGTGTGCAGGAGGCAGCTGGTCGATGTTTCTCTCTCATCGATGTTTCTGACTCTCTGTCCCTCTCCCTTCCTCTCTGTGAAAAATCAGTAAAATATTAAAAAAAAAAAAAAGCAAAATATCAGTATCATACCGATAGGAAGAGCAGTGCTAAGTTTTTAATTGTAACTTGTGTAACAGAGGGACTTGGGAGAAAAAGTTTATCAAATGAGCCTAGCTTCACGGCAAAGAGTAAGGCCAAACTCTTAAAGCCAATTCTCCCTTAGAGAGATTTCACCAAGAGCAGATGATTCTGCTACCGAACTATAGACAAGGATATAATAAAGCCAAAGCATGATCTCACATATCCTTCCCTGGACACATCTACTCTTCTTTATCACATCTGCTTCAACAAAAAGGCATCTTGGTGGTTCCTCCCCTGCCCCCTACCTCTCTGCTGTTACTGTATTTAGTGCCAAGCGGTAACAGTAACTGAAATAGGAACTGGAGGTAAGGTGGGGTATGAATGGAACTGACGGCTGGTTTGAAAAAGCCCTCTAATCCCATGTAAGCCATAAATCACCGCTTTTCCATGCTGAACACAGGAATAAGCTGTCCTTACATCTCTGTCCATTGATGTGGAAAGCAGCAGCTGTTTGTCATCCTCAGTTTGCAACGGACATAAATTAAACACAATTCTTGAATGATTCTGCCCTTCTGCTGAGGCACTAAAGAGGGTATATTTCCGTCTCCAAGACTGAGTGAGATCCCACAGCAGCAATTCACCTCTGCGAAGGAAGGACAGGCATTAGTTCTCTTTCACAAGCCCTTTGAAAAGAAGAGATACTGGGCCGGAGCGTGGGCCCAGTTGCAAATTTCTGTTCATTGTTCCTATAAGTAGAGAACAACTCTGAAGTATGCACAGGATATCTCTGGAAGCACACACAAAAACAAGGAGTCAGTCCTACGGGAAGAGGAACCAAGTAGCTGGAGGAATCAGAGGCAGAACGGTACTTTATCATAGCTTTCCTTCTTTCTGCACCATAGGACTATACTGGACTACCTTTTGAACAGATTTTCCTAACAGCTTTAATTAGGAAATGCCAAAGGCTTTAAGATATAATATCTCTTTTTTGGGTCAGTGAGGGTGGCAGGGGGTAGGGCCATGACTAATGTTTTGGTGAGATTTCTATATGCTTTACCTGTATTATTTCATTTAAAAGCAGGGCCTTTTCTGTTAAATTCACTTTATTATCTCAAGCAACTAAAAGCTGATACTCAAATTTTGTTTACTGAATGGCTCTAATCATCCTAAGAGAAAGGAGATACTATAACCTCCTCTTTTTATATGTGAAGTAACTGAAGCTCAGAAAAGTGAAGGGTCTTACTCATGAACACACAGCAGGTAAGTCACGGGCTGAGTCTGAAATTCAGTTCTGCCTGACTTCAGAGTCCATTCTTACCCACCAGGCTATACTTATCTGATCTTTTCACAACTCTCTTATCACACAACACAGATATCGATCCCATGATTTTTCCAATACAAATGGCCTATCATAATATAAGTCTCAGCCACTGCTTTTTCCATCTGCAAGTCTAGGAATTCCTGAGGCTAGAGAAGAAAACAAAACATGTCAAAGGGCACGACCAGGAAAAAGACTTACCCAAAACAGCTAGATACCAGCTGTGTTGGCTGATCCCGGGGCCAATGGAGTGTCAACCAAAGGCGCTCCTTAACAGTTGGGTCTACCCCTCCTCTTCTCTTCAGAAAGGGCAATTTCAAAGTCATCACACCTGCAGATTAGCATAAAGTCATTAGCAGCTAACAATGCAGTAACCCCCTCTATCTGCGGCTTCAGTAACCTGTGGGCAGCCATGGTCCAAAAACATTAAACGGAAAATTCCAGAAATAACAATTTCTGTTTTAAATCGCACACTGTTCTGAGTAGTGTGATGAAATCTTGTGCTGTCCTGCCCTGAACACGAATCATCCCTTTGTCCAATGTATCCATGTTGTATGTGCTTCCCACCCGTTAGTCACTTAGTAGGTGATCCGACAGACTACCGTGGTCTCACAGTGCTGTGTTCAGGTAATCCATTTTACTTAATAATGGCCTCAGAGTCATTCACATACTTATTACAGTATGTCATTATAATTGTTCTATTTAATTATTATTGTTTTAAATCTCTTATTGTGCCTAATTTATAAATTAAACTTTATTACAGGTATATATGAATAGGAAAAAACATAAGTCTATATAGGGTTCGGTGCTATCTGAGGTTTCAGGCATCCCGTGGAACTCTTGGGACCTATTCCTCTCAGATAAGACGGAAGTACTGTATAGTTTGTGGTTTAGAAGTTTGTTAGTTTGGTTACTTAGGATTCAGACCTCATTTCTCCTGGTAACACTATTATGCTTAGTGGTTAACACTAGTCTAGCTAATTTAAATCAAAGCTTTTACAGGCCAAGGAAGTGAGTTTCCGACTAGAACTGAGCACCCAGGTGGTAACACAATCTGATTCTCCAAAGTTGGCAGGACAGAGGGTGGGATTCCTTCTTCTAGCTGTGAAGAAATCCAACGAAGGCGACAAAGCTGGCATTGACATGTGACAGGGAAGTCCCTCCACCCCGGATGCTACTAACCGGTGGTTCTTAGTTTCTACGGAGTATCAGAACCACTGGTGGGATTTCTAAAATTCATAAGCCGGGGCCCAACCCCAAGAGATTCTGATTCAGAAAAATTGAAGACAGTTGTCCATAACTGTATTATTTATTTTTTTATTCTTCAGCATCATTAAAGTTTAGAAGTTACTCTTCTGGATGGATTCTTAGCTTGATGTTATCCCTACTTGGGAGAATCAGCCAAAGTATGTCCAAAAGCCATCCACAAATCCTAAAACATTCTGTTTCCCCAAATTATGCTAATAGCTACCACTGACTAAGCCCTAACTATGCTACTTGCTTTACATGCACAAATGCATTTGGACAGATGATAAAACTTCTATGGTTTAAGTAGAGAAAACAGACTGCTATAAAGTGAAAGTTTTGATTTTTACTATACAGGTAACATCCACTCTGCCTGGATCTTCTCTCAATCTTACGGTAAAAGTTCTGCTCAAAGAAATGCTTAGGAAAGCTGAATGACTGAGCTTCTACATTTAAATATGCACGTCTCTAGTGGGTGTATATTATTTATTCTGCATCTGTGCATTAAAAGTTCTTACTCTAGCCCTAGCTGATTTGGCTCAGTGGATAGAGCATTAGTCTACGGACTGAAGGGTCCCAGGTTCGATTCCTGTCAAGGGCACTTGCCCAGGTTGTGGGCTCGATCCCCAGTATGGGGCGTGTAGGAGGCAGTCAATCAATGATTCTTTCTCATCATTGGTATTTCTATCTTTCCCTCTCCCTTCCTCTCTGAAATAAATAAAAATATGTATTATTTTAAAAAGTTCTAACTCTAGTGATCTTTTCCATTCCTCTGATCAAGGCCTTGTCAAGTTCCAATATCCCCAGCCTCAACAAACATCTTATCCCCCATGCCACAGAGCGACCCTTCTATGAATGTAACAGAAACCCTCGCCTCCAACACCAAAGCCAGATGTTGGGAGCACAGAGTTCTAGTCTAGGCTAGGTTGGGAAACAACTTTCTGCATAGAAAAGTAAAGGAACCGCTTTTGACAGATGACATACTCTCAGTACAAGGCAGAATAAACAACTTATGCCTCTCCTGGACCAATCTAGGTTATATCGCAAAAGAAATGATCAAACATCGATCTTACCTCGGCCTCGAGAGCAGCTCCAGATTCGAATGGTCTGATCTTTGCTTCCAGTGGCTAAGTAGCAGCCTTTTGTTACTGGAGTTTGTGCTATAACTTTCCCATTAGGAAGTTCAGGTTCTTCTAGGATAGAGATGGTAATTTTGTTACACGAAACAGGCACTTATCTCAAAGAAAAAATAGTTTGCAAGGGTTCCAGGATCTTAGCTATCAGCTTTCATATATCTGATCTGCAAAAGTCACATTTTAAATATAATTCAAACGATACAATTCTACACATTGTGTTCCTTAGCGCTAAAGAATACAGAACCCTTCCTTAAGTGACGGCTACCTGAATTTTCCTCTTGATTTATGGGTAAACAGTCTTCCCCAGGCAGAGGACACCAGGCTATGGAGTGGATCTCATCATCATGGCCCCGAAGTCTGTGAATAACTTCTCCTTTCTTGCTGATGTCAATTATAACCACTATGCCATCCTTGTAGCTGAAAAACAAGTTGGAAAACATTTTGTTTTCCAGTAAAATTTTGCCTTAGGAGTTATTGTGCATTTTTAAAAGTTAAGTGCATTGGGAGTTGGGGAGAAGAAGACAAGAAACGATTAACTTTGTCCTTTTTCTAAAGTGTTCATTTCATGCTTCCTGATTTTTCAAATCCTCCTCCACGATCAATCTTGTAATAGTAATAGTGCACGTTACCTGGCACAAAGCTCAAACGGGAGTGTGCTTATGTTCTAAGTTCTTTTAGGGGCCCAGCAGTTCCTCTAATTACACTCAAAAAACTCCTTCTTTATACCAGCAATCCTGCTTTTCCAACTAGAAATTTAACAAAAGCTGCAGAACTCTTAATTCTAGATCTGGGTATTCCAAGGCTATATCATTCAGTGAGTTCAAAAGAGGCTGAGGAATTCTAACAGCTTTTTTTTAAGTGGTAAAGTATTTCAGACACAAAGTATCTACCACTCAGACTAAGAAAAAAACAATTATCAATACAGTTGAAGTCCTCTGAAGTCCTCACCCAAACTCTGTCCCTCTCTTCCCTAGAGGGAAATTGCTATTTGTGAATTTTGTGTTACATCATTCCTAGCCTTTCTTTGTTTACATTCCTAAATAAAATACATAATTATTTTATATACTAGAGGCCCGGTGCACGAATTTGTGCATGGGTGGGGTCTCTCGGCCTGGGTGGCAATCGCCCAGTCCCGATCAGCCCCGAGGGGGGGGGGGCGGGGCGGCGGCGGGCGGGACCTGCTGTGGGAGCGCACTGACCACCAGGAGGCAGCTCCTGCGTTGAGCGTCTGCCCCTGGTGGTCAGTGCACGTCATAGCAACTGGTCGTTCAGGCTTTTATATATATAGATTTTAAAACTTCATATAAATGATATCATGTGGTCTCTTTCTGCAGCTTGCTTCCTTAACTCATTCTATTCGTGAGTCAGCCATGTTGGCACATGTAACTGTTCCTGGCCAGCCATTTATACTGTTGTGTAGTCCTCCATCATCTGAATATACCTCAACTTTTTAATTCCTTTTCCTTTTGAAGGGCTTACATTTTTAGCTATTACAAACAAAAAATGCTGCCATTTATGTTCTTATACACACCTAAGACAATTTCTGGTTTGATGCCTAGTAATGAAACTGTCAGGACGTAAGATATGCACCTCTTTGCTTTACTAAGAAATGCAAAGCTGCTCTCCAAAGTGTGTGAACCTATTTGCATTTCCTACCTAACAGATACTTCTACAGGGAAAAATACCAGTGACAGCTTTATTTACTTAGTTTTCTCCTTTTATAAAATTTTCCCTCATTACAGCTTTATTAAAAAATGAAATCATAGAATATGTTAATCTTCAAAGAATATGGACTTTGAAAACCACCAAGTTCTGTAACGTAATAGTCAGGCGATCAAGCTCTCAAGAAATAATCACCATTTTGAAAGTCCTTGGAAAACAATCATTCTCATTCAATCCTGTGTCTGAAGGTACCTGACTCTTCTCTTCTTGTGAATTCCAGCTCACCTTTCAAGGTCAGTGTGGTTTAACCTTCTCTGACCCCTGCCTACCACCCTTTCTGCTCCCTCTCTAGTGCCCCCCACGGCACAGAGACTGCCGATCCACAGACCCCTTCCATTTTCACTATTATTCACTCCTTTAAAAACCCTTATCTTCTTGTCCCTCTCTCTCAGGGGTATTTACTCCACAAAACCTCAAACCTGGTTGAATTCAACCATCTTCTTTCTTAACCAGTGTGAATAGTTCAAAGTCATGACCATGATCCTTAGCTTGGCACTCAACAGGGACTACAATTTCCCTCGGTAAGTTCATTTTCCTATTCTCTGAGATGACTTTTCATACCTTCTTCCTGCATCCAGTCCCATCCCCACCGTGAACTTGACTCCCATCTCCTCTCTGACTTATGCCTCATGGAGAAAATCAGAAGCCATCAGAATGAAGCACCGCCCCTTCCAACAGATCTACAAACCTACCCGCACTATTTCCATAGTCTCAGCTGCTTTCTACTTGTGACCAATACAGATACAACAGTACTTACCAATGGCTAAGTCTTATCACGGTTCACCCCTGCAACAAGCTCTCCCTCTTCTGCCTCATTTTCATCAGCATAAAAGCACGCCCTTGCTATCTTCTGTCTAATATTCCCTCAACCCCCGGATACCTCTTGGGTTCATGTCTATGCACATTTTTGGGAAACAAACTGTGGAAACACTGTCTCCATGTATACTTTACTACCTTATACGCCCCTCCCCCGCCTCTTGAATCCTCTCCAGTCAGACTTTCTAGTGCTTATCCAGTCTTCAAATCAGAGTGAATGGACATCTTTGGGAGAGAAGTAAATAGAGTGGTGAGGGAAGGGGAAGCCCACTCAGGCAGCTCGTGTGAAACCACCTTGGTGACCAATAAGGAGACAGATCCCAATGCCAGGTCACTTTCCCAACCTAGAGGGAGAGCTGAGAACCAGAGAGACAGAGCTGAGCCATTTGATTCTCTGGGAGTAAATTTTATATTCAAGGGCAAGTAAAGACAGAGAAAAAGGTGAAGATGTGAAGAATGAGGAAAGTAAGCTATCCTAGAAACCTAGGAATTAACAACAGAGAGTGGAAGAGATTGTAGGACCTGGAGGTCACAGGACTAAAGGACACCAAGGGGTCAGGGGAAGTGGTTAACACCTATAAATGGTTTCCTTTGAGGAATAAAGGGACAGGAGAGGGGAAAGCAAATGCAATATATGAGCATAAGCACAAATAAATGATAAATACAGATAGAACACTACTTACCCAATGGCTACTAAGTCTTCATGATGAGGTGAGCAAGTAAGGCAGAAAATGGTCCTGGGTTCTATAAAGAGGTGCTGGCTGTCATTTCTGTTAAGCCAGTAACAGAAAACCACTCCTTTTTCATCTCCAGATACTATTAGGTCCTTTACCCGAGGAGACCAATGCAATGCTGATATTGTATGCTTTAAAACAAAACATAAATATATTTGCTTCTCACTTGTCAATGCTGAATTTTTACTCAGTTTTTAACCAGTATGAGGCACATTATAGGTACCTAATAAATACTATTAGTACCACTTGTGTAGCAAGACTATACTAACCAAATGGTAGGAGAATTTAGGCTATTGAGGATCAAAGAACCATTTAAAATAATTTCTTTAACAGCTTACTGCAGAGTTCTTACTAAGAGTAAGTTAACTGTGTTCCTTTCCAACATTCTCTCAAAAGACAGGTAAGTCAAGTTTCATTTACTGATTTATAGTTTATATCAGCAGCCTAACCAGACAGTAAATACTTTAGATTTTGTGGGCCACATTTTCTCTGACGCAACTATTCCATTCTGCGAATGTAGCATGCAAGCAGCCAATACTGAAGCTGTGAACAATCCTTAAATGAACGACTGGCTGTATTACAGTAAAACAATTTGCAAATACAGGCAGCAGTGTAGTTTGCTGACCTTTGGTTTATAAGTCTTGCCTCCCAAAAATGTCTCTTACAACATAGAGCTCCTTATTTAATTTATGAACACAATTGTAAAAGTTAACTTGCATAAACGAGCTAGCAAAACTATACTTGAAACAAAAGAACGCTTGGCACAGATACGTAACAACAGTCAGGGAAACCAGTAAGCCGTGGTACCTGATGGAGTGCATGTTCTGCCACAACTGCTTTTGTCTCCACGTCCCAGATTTTCACAGTCCCATCATCAGAGCTGGTGGCACAAAGGTTGTATTGACCCGGATGATGAGAAAACGTGAAGCCGGAGACTCTCTCGGTGTGTCCCACCAGCTCCCCTATGACTTCAAGCAAAACAAGACTTTGGGTTAAAGTGCTACCTGAGATTTCTGGCTGAATCAGGCTGTTGTTAGATGCTGAGTGGGATCTCACTTGTTCCATGACATAACAAAAATATCCGGGGACTCAGTCAAAAACTCCCAAGTGCAGGTACTGGCTCTGCCACGTGACTTTAGACAAGTCATTTTATTTCCTGGAGCCTCAGTCCTCTCAACTGTAAAACGCTGTTGATATTCCCTGATGTGCCTAGTTCACAGGCTGAGGAGCAGCCCAAATGAAGAATGGGAGCCCTAGCTGATTTGGCTCAGTGGATAGAGCGTTGGCCTGTGGATTGAAGGGTCCTGGGTTCGATTCTGGTCAAGGGCACGCACCTTGGTTGCAGGCTCCTGGCCTTGGTCAGGGGCATGTGGGAGGCAACCAATCGATGTATCTCTCTCACATCGGTGTTTCTCTCTGTCTCTCTCTCTCTCTCCCTTCCACTCTCCCTAAAAATCAATGGAAAAAATGTCCTTGGGTGAGGATTTAAAAATAAAATAATAAAAAATGGGATTCTTACTTAGATCTGGCGAGAGATCGTTTGGAGTAGAATAGCTGGCATGCCATATCCCATGGTATAATCAAGACCTAGTTTGGAGCCTAACGGCACCTGGCTCCATGCGTTCATCTCACAGAAATGAGTATCATATCTGTAGGATCTTGCTTAGGGCCTGGAGCTGAAGGCAACCTCAACCCCAAGAAGGCTCCTAAGGGATCCACGTGCAATGGGTCGGGGAGGGGGGAGGCCATAGATGTTAGAAATTCCTGGGTCTGGACAGAGATAACTTCCTGGGGAAGCGAGCAGTCCCTCGTGAGGGCGCCGGGAGGCGGGACCGCTCATCCACAGCGCAGTGTCGCTCAATCTTGGAGATCCGGACGCGACTCCGTTTAGGGGCTGAGAGCAGACTCTTCTCCCTGCCGGGGCCTCAGTTTCTCCTTCTGTAGAAGCGGGTGGCTGAAGACGCCTACTCGGCGCCTCCAGGGAACGCTAGACGTGCAGGAAAGGTGGGGGCAGGGGCAGGGAGTTACCTCGAAATGGGGGCGTCCCAGGGATCGCGCCTGCGCCCGGGCCCACGCGGACAAGGAAGACGGAGGTCCGCGCCGCGAACCCGAAGAGGCCCCCGGGGACCGCATCGCTGCAGCGGGCGCAGTACCAGTTGGGGGAGGGCGGCAGCGTGCGCGGCTCCTGGCCCATGATCACGAGCCACCGGGGAGGAGGTAAGAAGCCACTGGGACAAACCGTTTGCAGCCCCACGCCGTGGCCGGGAAGGGGGCGGGCCAGCTCGGAGCCCCGCCTCCCGGGCCCGCTGCTGCTACGGCGCGCGCCGAGGCCCAGGCCGCACCGGGCTCTCGCTGCCGCCGCCGCCGCGGGGTCTGTCGCTGCCTGAGCCCAGCCCCGGGGTTAGGCTTTCTCGTTTCCTACAGTCGAGGTACATAATTAACGGGTTAGACGGGTGGAGTCATCTTCCCGCTCCGCCCGTTTAATGCCGCCCCAAGGAATTTTGAACTCTTCCTGCGAGGGCACTTCGCTAGCTCTGGAGATGCTTTTTAAAGCAGAGATTTTCCACTGGTGCCGAGACAGCAAGAATTTTTAAAACACGCAATACCTGACTATTTAGTCAGGGGCATTGACCTCTTTTCCCTTAGATTGTCAAATAAAAAAATAAGGACAGCCAACACAACAATAGCGGCTCGGTATGAATGAATCAAAATTATGCCCCCCCCTTTTTTTTTGGCTCAGATTGGCAAAAAAATACATTTTTTGGTGTGCCACAGGATTTTAGTAATTAGTTTATGTGTACCATAAGATGAAAAGGTTGAAAGAGAGCTACAAGGATATATCCAAAGATATCTAACAAATAGATAAAAGTTCCAATCAGAACTCAAAAAAAAAAGAAAAAGAGTTTGTGCTCTTGGGTGGAACTTCTGGCTCCGGGTTCTTGGTAACTCAGGGAGAAGAAGAATAGAGTGACTCCATTTGATTGAGTGCCAGCTCCGTGAAACTGTATGTGCTAAGTGCTGCGGAGGAAAAGAATGGAGGTTTCCTTCCAACGCAAACAGGCAGGTGCTCACACTGCTGCACTACACTCTCCTGCTCCAGTATTGCTTGCATTAGGTAGCTGGCACTCCGGCGTATGTAGCAAACGAAACCCGAGATATCTAAATACAGAGAGGTAAAACGCATGTCTTTGGATATGGGTAGGGGTACTAACTTTGGAGGCATAACACGATGGACTGCTGGTTTTTGCCAGTTGTTATCTAAGAGACTTTAGCTTATCCTAAGTCTCTTCATTTGAAGAAGGAAACTGATAATCTATGCCTTGTTGCATTGCTCTGAGCAATACTGAGATTTAGTGAAATGCTCGCTGGACATAGACAGTAGCAAATGCCCCGATGGTAATTAACTTTTATCTCTTGTAGGTCAACCTGGAGATTAATAGGGATTAGGACATCATACTTTATATTTGAACTGTTTGTTTTATAAAAGATCTTTCCACGTGATCTCCAGTGGAGATCTGAAAACAAAACTGCTGTAAGGATAATTATTCGATTTCACTGGCTAGAACACTGAGGCCCACCCAGGTTAGGTGGCTTGTTCGAGATCTCTGCTTCCCTAATCCTTTTAGACCATTTGTGAGGTGACGTTTCGTAATTTTTCTGGATCCCGATGAATTTCCGGAAACTGACTACTTTTCGGCCTTTGTTAAGTCATTCATTCCTTAGCAAGGTTGGGCTGACCACGCCTTAAGCGCTGGCAGCGCTGGCAGCGTCTTGGTGGTCTCCATGACAACACCGCAGGTGTAGGTACTGACGGGTTTTCCCCGGGGGCGGGGGAAGGAAAGCGGAGAATTGCGCATGCGTCCTGTCCAGATGCTGACTGAGCTCGGAGGCTTCCGTAGAGGGGAGGAGCAAGATGGCGGCGGCAGTACTGGACCGTCTGGGTGAGGATTTTGGTGGTTAAGGGGCGTAGAAGGGAGAGGAGGTGGGAGTCTGAGTTGACGGCTTGTGTTGCTGTTGCAGGTGCGTTATGGATGCAGAGTCTGAGGCGGAAGCTGGCCCTGGGGTAAGTGGCCTCGGAGTTGCAGAAGGGCCACGGCCTTACTAGCCCTTCAGTTACTGGGAGCCTCTGTGCGGGCTCTGTTTTAGGCTCTGGGGCCACCATTCCGCCGCCTTATTACGTAGCCCTCGGGATCAGGATTACCTGCAATGTCTTTTCTTTCTTTTTTTAAAAAATTGATTTCAGAGAGGAAGGGAGAGAAAGAGAAACATTAATGATGAGAGAGAATCATTGATCGGCTGCCTCCAGCACGTCCCCTACTGGGGATCAAGCCCGCAACCCAGGCATGTGCCCTTGGCGGGAATCGAACCTGGGACCCTTCAGTCAACGCTCTACCCACTGAACCAAACCATCTAGGGCTGCAATGTCTTTTCTGATCTTTCTGAACACGGTCAGACTCTCCCAACCTCGCCGCAGCGGCCCGCTTGCCTAGTTCCCGCTCCAGCGCCCTGCTTACACCTGCAGGGCCCCCGTCCCGCCTTCCTGGTTCCCGCCCCAGTGCCCTGCTTATACCTGCAGGGCCCGCGTTGCAGACAGCGCGGCTGACCTCGCCTGGGGTTGTGTTGCTCGCCTCGTTGTCGTACCATCCCGTGTAGTGTACGTCCCCATTTTGCAGACAAGGAACTTGGAGCCCTCCAAGTAAAAACTTGCCTAAGGTCCCTCAGATATAGGACGTCTTGAAGCTTTATACTATACTCTCCAGAGCGTCCTTTGACCCCAGGACCAAAGCATTCCTTAAGGTTAGGGGATGCAGTTGGGTCAGGACTGGCGAGAAGCCTTCCCCCTCTCCTTTCTAATTGCCCCCCCCCTTTTTTTTCAGTACAGCGATTGATATTTGGAGATTGATAATCTGATTGTAAATTTTCTGATCAGCCTTTATTTTGGTTTATATTCACTTTGGAGACAGAAAAGTTGGGTGCAAATCTACTTTTTAAGTGTGTGATTTGGGGGAAGTTACTTATTTTTCTAAGTTTCAGTTCCTCATGAGAGGAATAGTAGTACCTACCTTAGATTATTTTATGAGGATTGAGATAATGTATATGAACTGTTTAGGACAGTGCATGTTATATAATAATCCACCCTAAATTTTAACTGCCATTGCTGCTTTTATCATAAATGACTAGAGGCCCGGTGCACAAAATTTGTGCACTCTAGGGGGGTCCCTTAGCCTGACCTGCGCCCTCTCACAGTCCAGGAGCCCTCCCGGGCTGTCAGTTGGACATCCTTAGCACTGCAGCAAGGAGGAGAGGCTCCTTCCACCACCACTGTGCTCTCCAGCTGTGAGCCCAGCTTCTGGCTGAGTGGTGCTCCCCTGTGGAAGCGCACTGACCACCAGGGGAGCAGCTCCTGCGTTGAGCATATGCCCCCTGGTTGTCAGTGTGTGTCATAGCGACAGGTTGTTCTGCCTTTCGGTCCATTTGCATATTAGCCTTTCATTATATAGGATTACTGAGTTCCCGTTTTTTGTTGTTGTTTGTTTTGTTTTGTTTTTTGCTCCATCCTAGGCTCTTGGTTCAAGAGGATGAAGAGGTGGGCTAACAAAGAAAATAGGGGGCACAGCCCTTAGGGTTTGCCTACACTTTGCTTTCTTAGGTTACCTTCTCTCTACTGCAGCCATGCTGATTAACTTACTGTGTTCTGAATATGTTGTGCATACACTTGCCTCTTGGCTTTTTCATGCTGTGCCCTCACTTCCTGTCTACAGCAGCAGTCCTACTTGTTTGTTATTTAACCCCCTGTTCACATGTTTCACCTTCAGAAGGTTTTCTCGGGTCTCACTAAAAATGGAAGGCATTAATTTCTCTTTCCTTTTAGCATGTGTGCCTTGAGTAGTCACTGCATGTGCATGTGTCTGGGCCCTTTACTAGCTGTGAACCCTGGACAGATAGGGTCAGTTCTTGTTTCTCTTTGTAGCTCCAGCATTGGGTCCTGAACAAGTAAAGATTTTGTTAATGTTTGTTGATTTAAATTGTCCTGCAGTGATTTATATTGGGAAGATCTGAGCCAGATAACTTAGTTTGGCTTCAGTCTTTTCATCAATATCATACAAGATGGTTGGAATTTTCTAGATAATCTCATAAGACTCTTTCTAGTTCTGAAATTATGTAATTCTATGAATCCCTATTCTGGACTTTCTAATGGGGAAATGATCAGATGAAAACTAAGTGGAAAAGGTATGAATACTGCCCATGATAACTGTAAAATCTTAGGGATCATCTAATTCAGTGTTTGGGAACTAATTGCATATAGGTGCTAGAAATAAATTAATTAGGAGAAGTTTTTGTAAAATGAGAGAGTGTGTTAGGGCCTGTGTCAATTTAGAGTGCATTCCTCATCTAAAGGCTTTGAATTGGGCTAAGACCAGATGAAACCTTTCCATAGGCTGTATTTGGTAGCAAACGGACATTTTCCAACCTTTGAATTCCAAGTCTCCCATTTCACTGCTGGATGCATTTGAGAAATTTTGTGACTTACTGAAGGTTATACAGTTAATACATGGCAAGTCTAGGATCTAAACAAAAAATCCTCTGGCTTTAAATAGTGTCCTGTTACACTATGGAGGGACAGAGTGATGGGCACAGAAGAGGTTTGTCAGGGAAGTTTTTTGGGAAGAGGTGACATAAGTTTAAAGTGAAGAGTACATTTTGGTGGTTTAGAAAATATCTCTGGTTTTTATTCATCTCTGCTTTCAAGTGTTCTGATTGCATGACCAGCAAGATTTGACAACCACATTGATTTTGTGCTCTCTCAATTAAATCTTACCTTGTGATTCGAGGGGTTGTGGTTTCTTGCTTTTTAAGACAATGATTCTTAAATTTGAGTCACAGACCCCTTTGAGAGTATAAGGAAAGCCACAAAGCATCTTCCCAGGAAAATACATATTACAGTCATAGTTGTGTTTGTAATTTAATAGTCCTCAAGCTAGGAATCTGCACTGGAACATCACACCTAAACACAAGCATCTGTTTGTGATGCGTGAGGTGCTGTAATGCTCACTATGCAATGAGGACACAATCATGACTAGTGCAGTACACAGTAGAGCTTTGCGGCAGTAGTTAGAGGACTTGGTTAGGGGAGGGTTGGTTTTAAGTTGGGAGACTATTTGAGATTATTTGTTTGCTGATGGAAATGATCCAATAGAGAGGAAAACATTGCTGATAGAAAGAGGAAAGAAAGAAGTGCCTGAGCAATGTACTTGAATAAGTGGGAAGGA